GAGGCGGCGGCGCCGCGTCTCAAAAGGGCCCCCCCGCAGGCCGTGCGCGACCAGCCCCACCTCCAGCCCGCAGGACAGCGCAAAGGCGCCCAGCAGGCCGCCCACGGCCACATCGTAGCGCCACGCGCCGCTGCACTCGCGGGGGCCGTGCACGCTGGCAAACCAGATGACAAGCAGCACGCACCAGACCTGACGGTGGAAGGAGAGGGGCAGTGGGAGAAGGGAGGATGAGCGGGAAGGACAGTGGCGGACGCATGTGGTGCAGCATAAGAGAGTGGTCATACAAAGAAAACTAGCAGGACACAGAGAACTCACCGCGTGAAAGACGGCGCAGGCGGCGGCGGGGAGCGCAACGTCGTTGGACGACAGCAGCCAGCGGCGGCCGAACAGGACCAGGGCTGGCATGGCGCCGGGGGCTGCACCCGAACGGCTGTATGCCTGATACTGGTGCTAACGACACTCGCTGACGGTGTCCAGGGGTGGCAATGGGACCGTCGCGATCACATAATGCCAGGAGGGCGCTGTAGAAGCTACCAGACTTCTGCAAGCGGATGCGGGTTGCTCGTGAGCGGTGAAAGGCGAGCTTCAGGCCTTCAGGACGCAGGCCAGGATAAATCCAGTCAGCGCCAGCGCGGATGGACGACCTGTGAAGATTCTGGGGAGCTCCTGCTGGCTTCAGAGGTGAACTGTGACTGCTGGGTGTGCTAGGGATCCAGGGTGTGCCTCTGGGCTGGCATTAATCGCACGCTACCTCCACCTACTGCCGCGGGGACAGTTCGATTGCCCGCCATGATCGGTCACAGGGGCCTACGGGCTGCCGCCAGCCGGGCCAGGGGCCTGCAGCAGGTGAGCCCTCGCTCGCCTGGGCCCCCTGGACCACTGGTTGGCCTCTCCACCGGAAACCCAAACCTTTCTGGGGCACTGAGCAGCTGGGAAATCGCCCGGCCCTGCGCAGGGGTTCAAGGAGCTCTGCGGCGTGACGGCAGCGGGCGGCACCGCGGCGGCGGCGCCCTGCGGCCTCGCCTGCGCCGCGTGCCAGCAGCCGCTGCTGCTGCCGCTGGCGGCCTGCGCCGCGTGGCCCGCAGACGCGGCGGGAAGGCCATGGCAGGCGGCGGCGGTTCGTGGCTACGCCAAGATGGGCACCAAGATGCCGCACTCCGGCTATAACCCCCCAGCCGACATGAACAAGGCGATGCAGATGCGGCTCTCAATGGTGTCGCCCAACCTGCTGGCCGAGCCATACCGCGGCGTACCACCCCCGCAGCCGCTCACATCCTACTTCACGATCAGGGGATGGAAGGAGCGGTGGCAACGCACCCTGTCCCAATTCAAGTCGATGTACACGCTGGCAAAGTGCAAGTGAGGCGGGTGGAAGAGCAGCTTGCTATCCTGCCGCCGCTGCCGCCGCCTATGCTGCCGGCCCGGTTTTTGGCAGCACACACAAGCAGCCATGGCAGCCAGCCTGCGCTGCCGAGGGCGAGCGGGGAGCGGCGGCTGCGCTCTGTTGTGTCGCCGACGACGTCCCCAGCCCACGCCGCGCGCCGTGCCTGCCCGCCCGCCGCGCGGCCGCGCCTGCAGGAAGTATGTGCCCGGCTTCAACCGCAACGCCTTCAAGCAGGAGAGCCTGGAGCTCTACAGGGACATCTGCCGCCTGCTGGCGCAGGGGGAGCGGGGCAGCCTGCGCCAGCTCGTCACCCCCGCCGTCTTCTCGGATATGAAGCGCCAGCTGAAGCAGCGCGAGGATCCGGCGGCTGGGCGCGCGTGCAGTGGGACCTCGTCAGGGTGGGTGGGCAGCCTCTGCACGCCTTCCCGCCGCTGCGACGAGCTCGCCGGGGGGGGCAGGCGGGGCGGTCCCCGCCCGGCCGGGCACCTCTGCTTGCCGTAGGGTACGCCGTGGTGTGCCGGGCAGAGTCGCCGCTCACTGAGTAGGAGTGCTGGTGCCTGTGCAGGAGCCTACCGTGGATGAGCTTACCACAGTGCACGGCCGGCTGATCATGATCAACCCAAAGGTGCCGGCCGGGCCTGCTGCACAATACCCTGCTGCCCCTGCCGCTGGTTGCGCCGCCTTCGCAGGGCTGCGAGCGCTGCGCAGCCGCCTGCCGAGCATCCTCCCGAGCGCCCGCCTCGTTGCCCCGCAGGACGAGACCAGCGGCTTTGCGCAGCTGACGGTGCGCATCCCCAGCGCGCAGCGCTTTGCGGCGTACGACAAGGCGGGCAAGCTGGTGGCAGGCGACCCGGAGCAGGTGCGAGGGTGGTGGCACCTGGGGGCTGGGTTGGCTCCCACATAGTGTGTTGTCCATAGCTATGGACACACACCGCACCGGCATGGGCACCACATTGCTTGAGCCATCATCACGGTGCCTGCCCGCCTGCCTGCAGTCGATTGATGTGGAGGACTACTGGGTGTTTGAGCACGCGTTCAAGGCCTCTCCGGCCAACCGCTGGCGCCTGGCCGGGCGGCTGAGCGTGCTGCCGCACGCGGCGGAGCGAGCGAATGGCGGCTTCGGTGCAGCACAGCAGCAGCAGCAGGCGCAGCCGGCGGCGGCTCACCAGCAGCAGGCGGCCCCGGCAGCGGCAGCAGCGACCGCCGCCGCTGCCGGCGCCGCGGCAGCAGGGGAGCCAGAGGTGTTGCGGCCGGGGCACGTGGCGGGGCAGCAGCGCACGCAGCGGCAGCTGCAGTGGGCCGACAAGCCCGCGGGGCGCAAGGCTGCGGCAGCACGTGGCCGCAGGTGACAGTGCTCTTGCCTGCTGCTCAGCCGTCCCCACAATACATGTCAACCATTTTGCCTCCTGCCACGACTGTTTGATTTACGCATGCATCCGTTAAGAATGCTCTGCACAATGAGAAACTTCCATAACAGCAAGCATTTGGGCGTAGGCATAGGCATGGCATGCACCCATGGTAATCTTGAATGGGTACAACAGCATGTTAACAGCTCCCATCCAAGCTCAATGCTATCCTCACACCGGAGCGACCTGCCCCGCGCCTGCCGACCCGCCATCACCACCTGTGGCCGTGCCGCCGGCTGCTTGCCGACCGGCCGAGGAAGCCACCGCCGCTGCTGCCGCCGCCACCTGCTTCTGCTGCTTTGCCGGCGGCGCCTGCTTGGCTGCGGGCGGCCGCCCCTCAAACTGGAGCAGCAGCGAGTTGGCCATGACTGCCAGGCTGCTGATGCCCATCATGGCGCCTGCGCCACAGGTAGAGCGGAAAGGGAGGGGGAGGAAAGTGCTTATGAGGGTTGGTGAGCAGCATAGCGGCAGCAGCAAGAAGCGGCCTGTGCAAGCAAGGGTGTGCCAGGCCACGAGGCACAGCAGCACGGCAGCACGAGGCGCGGCGCGGGCAGGCGGCGCGCACCCGACAGGCTGGGGGTGAGGGCCAGGCCGGTGACCGGCAGCAGGGCTCCCGCCGCCAGCGGGATGCCCACCAGGTTGTACCCTGCGGCCCACCACATGTTCTGCTGCACCTTGCGCAGCGTGGCGCGGCTCAGAGCCAGCACATCCAGCACCTGGGGCAAGGGGAAGGTGTGTGTGTGTGTGTGTGTGTGTGTGTGTGTGAGTGAGAAGGTGGTGTGGTGGTGATGTCCCGGGCCGGGCACGAAGTCGGCCTGCTGCCCCAGCGGCAGGCAGGCGCGCAGGCCCCACCCTGCCATCATGGCACGCCCGCAGCCCCTCCCCCCACCTGCGGCACCCGGTCTCCCAGCAGCACCACGTCGGCCACCTCGCTGGCGGCATCCACGCCGCCGCCCATGGCGATGCCCACATCCGCCTGCGGGGTGGGGCAGCAGGGGGCCAAGCGGGCGAGGGCAGTGAGAAGCACGGGGAGACGATCAGGGAGGCAGGACGGGAGGACACAGGACAGGTGAGCATGATGAACGTGGCAGCGAGATGGCATGGCGGATGGGAGGAGGGCGACGGCGCGCAGCGGGGCCAGGGAGGCCAGGTGGGAGGGTGGGGCACCTGCGCCAGCGCCGCCGCATCGTTCACGCCGTCCCCCACCATGGCCACCCGCCGCCCCTGCCCCTGCAGCTGCTGCACCAGCGCGGCCTTGCCCGCAGGCTTCACGCCCGCATACACATCCTGCGGGCCAGGGGGCGGGCGGCGAGGCAGGAGGGGCGGCGGAACCTTGCCGCAAATGAGCTGTCGCAATGCGGCCAGGCCGGCAACACGCCGCCAATGCAGCACCCTGCGGCGAGCAACAACAAGCAGAGGTGGCCCCGGCGCCGCTGCCCCAGCACCCCCTGTAGCGCACCTGCGGCTTGATGCCCACAGCCTGCGCCATGGCGTGGGCAGTGGCCGGCTGGTCACCAGACAGCATCACCACACGCACGCCCAGGCGCTGCAGGCGCTGCACGGTGCTGGCGGCATCGGGCCGCAGCTCATCGGCAATCTCCACTGCCGCCGCCAGCCGGCCATCGATCCCCACATACACCAGAATGTGGCCAGGCCGGCTGGCAGCCGCCGCCTCGGCCGCCGCCGCCTCCGCATCGCCCATGCTGCTGAGGCTCAGGCTGACGCCGCTGACGCCGGAGGCCGCCGCCGCGGCCTCCTGCTGCGCCAGGCTTGGGATGGCGGCGGCGCCGGAGGCTGCGTCCTCTGGCTGCTGCTGCTGCTGCTGCTGCTGCTGCTGCTGCTTGCGGGTCACCCACTCACGCGCGCCTACCGCCACACGCCGCCCCGCCACCGTGGCAGTCACCCCGCTGCCCGGCTCCTGCACAAAGCTGCCGTCCTCTGCCACGTAGGCGCCGCCGCTGCCGTTGCTGGTGACGTGCGCGCTTCCGCTGCCGTTGCTGCCATGGCCGCTGCCGCTGCCGGCCTGGGCGGCCTGGGCGGCGGCCTTTGCAATGGCCTTGGCGATGGGATGTGTGCTGCCGCGCTCCACAGCCGCCGCCAGCGCCAGAAGCAAGGCAGGGTCGTCGGCTGGAGGGGAACCATGCCGCCCCTTGGCCTGGGGCTTACTGCCTGCCGCCACATGCAGCGGCCGCACCTCCACCACCGTCGGCTTGCCCACCGTCAGGGTGCCTGTCTTGTCAAACACGACAGTGTCGACATGGGAGGCGGCCTGGGCAGCACAGGAACAACAGCACGAGCAAGAGCAGGGAGGGTGAGGCTTGGGGGCAGGCGGCGGCAGCCAGCAGGCAGCATGCCGCGGCGCCATAAAAAGGCATCAGCTTGCCACCGCTGGCCGGATGGGCCGCCAGCACACCCAGGACGCACAAGCAGCAGCCTGCCCCCTCTCTCCCTCCCACCTCCAAAATGTCGCCGCCCCGGATGAGCAGCCCGCGCCGCGCCCCCGCCGACGTGCCCACCAGCACGGCGGTGGGCGCGGCCAGGCCCAGGGCGCAGGGGCAGGCCACCACCAGCACGTTGCAGGCCATTTGCAGGCTCAGCAGCGCGGTGGCGGCGGCCTTGGAGGTGGCGGTGGCGGCATAGGGGGCCAGGACCTGCGGAGGAAGGGTGGAGGGAGGCACATAGACCGATGGTCAGTTTACGGATCCAGCCCTCAAACGCCGGCGCTGTAGTGGCCAAATCAGCTACACACAAACACACGCCACAGACACACAGGCACACCTGCGGGAAGACGCGAGTGCCGATGCCGGCCCAGAACAGGAAGGTGGCGGCGGCCGCCGCCATCACCCCGTATGTGAACTTGCCCTGCGGGGGGTGCAAGGGGGGGCGGACAGGGTCACCGGCAGCATGTGAGGCAGCTTGTGCTGGCAGGCTGGCCAGCGATGGCTGTGGGCGCTGCGGGCAGCAGGCGGCCGCCAGCTCACCGCCACCACGTCGGCAAAGCGCTGCACGGGGGCGGTGCGAGACTGGGCAGCCTCCACCAGCCGCACAATGTCGGCCACAGCTGCAGGCGGGTCGCAAGACGGCCGTGTGTAAATGCATGTTGCAGGAAAGTGCATGGATGAGTGGATGGGGTGGTTCACCAGCAGCAGCTGGGACACTGGCAAAGGGCGGCCGGCGGCGGCAGGCACCAGAGGCGGGCCGCGGCCCCTGCCCGCCCCGCCCCAGCCTGCCGGCCACTGCGCGCAGCCTCACCCGTGTCGCCCCCGCTGTGCACCGCCCTGACGCTGATCTGGCCGTCGTAGTTGACGGTGCCCGCCGTGACCTTGTCGCCTGCAGGGGTCGGGTGGGCCGGGGGGTGCGGGGCGGCGTCGCCACCAGCGCATGCGAGACCGCGGCGCCACGCTCGGCAGCAGCAGGAGGGCCAACCCAACACACGTGAGTGTTTGCCAGCTGCGGCCAGAAACCTGCTCAGAGGCACGAGCACAGGCAGAGGCGCAGGGACCGGCGCCGGCGCAGGCCGCCTGCGCACGCCCACCTTGCGCCTTGGTCACCGGCAGCGGCTCTCCCGTCAGGGCCGACTCGTCGACCGTGCTGCGCCCGCCCACCACCACCTGCAGGCCGCAGCCCAAGCACGGCAGGCGGGCGGGCGGCGATGGGGCTCCCGACTCGCCCCAGCCGCTGGCAACTTCGCCCCAGCCATGCTGCTGGCCGCACCTCGCACTAGCCCAGCACCAGCTAGGCAGGCACCAGCCCCAGCCCACTCACCCCATCCACCGGCACCCGGTCTCCCGGCAGCACCGTCAGCACATCCCCGGCCGCCACCGACTCAGAGGGCACTTCCCGCCAGCTGCCGTCGCCCAGCAGCAGGCGCGCCTTGGGCGGCAGCAGGCCCTGCGCCGATGTCGCGCGCAGCGCAGCCAGTCAAGCTGCCGCCTCGCCAGCCGCCCGGCACCTGCCCATGCACTCCATACAACACACACCCGCCAGCCGCACAGCACACACGCAGCACGCGGCGCCCTCGCCCACCTGCAGCGCCGCCATGTCGGCCGAGGCCTGCAGCTTGGCCCGCTCCTCCAGCGCGCGCCCCACCAGCACCACGCCCAGCAGCATGGCGGGCTCCTCGAAGAAAGTGCGCCAGCCTGGCGCAGCAGGGGCACAGCGCAGCACAGCGTGCACAGCAGGAGCAGGTTCGGACGCCTTCCGAAGTGTTACCAGACCCCTGGCTCCGAATCCGCTCTGTCAGCCAAGTCAGGCCAATCCAACGAAAGCTCGGCGCCAGGCAGCTGCCGCTAGCCACAGCCAGCAGCGCCTGCTCAAGCTCAGCACACGCGCCCCGCCCGCGTCGCTCACCCAGCTTGGGCAGCAGCGCCGCCACGGCGGAGACGGCAAAGGAGGCGGTGGCGCCCAGCCCCACCAGGCTGTTCATGTCTGGGGCGCCCTTGGCAAGGCCGCGGAAGCCCTCGCTGATGATTCCCCGCCCCGGGCCTGCGGCAGACAGAGGCGCGGCGCATGGCGGCTCGAAGCAGCGGGCACGGCACAGCACGAGCACGAGCCAGCCCCACACGCAGGGGAAGCAGGCAGGGTCGCTCACCAAGCAGCGCCAGCGCTGCCAGCGCCGCGTGCACGGGGGTGGAGGACAGGGCGTGGAGCCAGCGGGGCGCCGAGCCACCGAGCCAGTGTGTGAGGTGGTGGAGGAGGCAGGCGGAGGCCAGCAGCCAGGCCACGCCCAGCCGGCGCGTCGTGTCCCTGCGGGGCATAGCCAGCAGAGGGGACAGTGTAACAAGGGCGCCCAACCTCTCATTCCTGCCATGTAAAGGCGGCTCACACACCCAGGCAGGCCAGCGGCATGCCAGCCCAGGCGGGGCCTTCAAGCAGCCCTGCAGGCCTGCCTGCGCGTGGCGCGGCAGCTGCGGCCGCACCCACGCCCGCCGCCGCCTCACCTGAGCCGCCGCAGCCGCTCCTCCCGCTTAGCCGCCACCACCTTGTTGCTGGCGCTGCTGCCGCCGCCCTGCTGGCGCATGGTGGCGGCGTAGCCGGCCTCTGTCAGCATGCGTGCCAGGCTGGCGCCCATGGACGCCAGCTGGCGCTCGTGTGGCGACAGCCCAGCCTCCAGATCCTCTTCCCCGCCCGCCGCCGCCGCCGCTGGCGCTGCCGCCGGCGCCGCCGCTTGGGAATCGAGGCCGGCTGCTGCCGCCGCTGCTGCTGCTGCTGCTGCTGCTGCATGTGCTGCTGCTGCGCCGTCGCTGCCGGGCGCCGGCAGCGCCACGCGTACCACCGCGGTCTCTGTGGCCAGGTTGACCGAGGCCGCCTGCACCGGCTGCTCCCTCTCCAGCAGAACCTTGACCCGGCTCACGCACCCGGCGCAGCGCATGCCTGCGGCGGGTGGGGAGGGAGGGCAGTGGGAGGTGGAGGGCAAGTCCCTCCAGAAGGGTTGGCAGGTGGGCGAAGCAGGCAGCCAGGGACGCGCATGACGCCACAAACGCAGCTGGGATGTACCACACACACAGTACCAGCACCAGGCCGCCGCTCACCCATCACATCCAGCAGAATCACATCCTCCTTCCCTCCCAGCGCCGGCGCCACTGCCAGCGCCGCTGCCGCGGACTCTGCCGCGCTGCCGCCGCTGCCGCTGCCGTCGCCGCCGCCGCTGCCGCCGGCAGCGCCGCCGCCGCCGCCGCCAGCAGAGTGGCACACCTGGCAGCGGCGGTATGTGCCACGGGCTGGCCAGGCCAGGCCGCTGCTACGGCGCATGCCTGTCAGCAGGCCCAGCGCCGCTGCTCCTAGCCATTGGGCATTTCCAGCAGGGGCACCGCCGCAGCTCCTGCAGCTCTGGCCCGCACGCACTCCGCCGCCAAGGGCGGCGACGGCGGCAAGGGGGCGCCGCGCCCCTGCCCAGCCTGCCGCTGGCAGGCGGGCTGTGTGCAGCAGAGTGGCGCGCTCCAGCGCCTTAATCGTGGCGCGGTGCCAGCACGCCGGGCTAGCAGGCCGGCTGCAGGGCAGCGCGGCAGGCTGCATGGCAATGTGGCTGCCGAACGACACTAAATATCAATGGTGGACACCAGCGACACGCTGCGAGGTGTCCAGAGGAACACCGGCGGGGATTGCAAGTGTGAGTAGGTGGCAAAAAGGTGGCGCGCTGGCTCTGCTCAAGGTCTGGATTGCAAGAGTAGGTGTCGACCAATGCCAACACAAAGCCTAAGCAGCGATAGACGGGATGAGATGATGATGAGGGGATGAGGCGGGAGGCGCCAGATGGGCGATGGTACACACTTCCACCTGTTGTTGCCTGGCCCTTCTGCTGTCTGCTGTGCCCTCATCCCCAGGCCACACCTCTGCTACCGCCACGCCTTGCGCAGCTTGGCCCAGCCGTAGCGCGCCGACTTGGCCAGCCCCGCCGTCAGCAGCCCCGACACAGCCTGGCGGCGGCTGGAGGCGCCCACGATGGCGTGGATGGCGTGCCGCAGCAAGCGCTGCCGCCGCTGCGGCTCCGCCGCCGCCAGCGCCCTCCCCACCGCCTGCAGCTGCTCCTGCGCCTGCTGGCCTCCCGCCGTCCCCTCCTGCTGCTGCTGCAGCGCCGCAGGCGACGGCAGCGGCAGGCCCAGCAGGCGGGCCAGCCTCTCCAGCACGTGAGCCGGCAGCGCGGTCGCCAGCCGCGCGGCTGCAGCAGGCGAGTCGTCACACACCCAGGCGTCGCCTCCCGCCCCCGCCGCGGGCTGCAGAACGCGCCAGCGGTCCTGCGCCGCGGCCAGGGGCGGCGCATACAGGCCTCGCAGCCCCTCCAGGCTGCCGCTCACGATGCGGGGCACCTTGTGGCTGTCCTCAGCCAGCCCCATGCGCACATCGCCGCTGTAGCTGATGGCGCAGATGGCGTGCAGCAGGTCCTGCGCAGGTGGAGGGGAGCAGCGACGCATGTGAGAGAGAGAGAGAGAGAGTGCGAGTGTGTGTGTGTGTGTGTAGGCGCCTCCAAACTTGGGCTCCTCGCCTGGTCCAGACATGAGCAGTACCAGTACCAACAGCAACAGCGGCACCGCCTCGCCGCACGCCGCCCAGGCTGGCGCTCACCAGCGTGCCAAAGCGCGGCGGCAGCAGCAGCAGCGCCACGCGCAGCGCGGCGGCCAGGTTGTGCTGCTGGGCGGCGGCCACGGCGGCGTGCTGCCGCAGCGTGGCCACCGGCTTGTGCATGCGTCCCGCGCAGTACAGGCTGGTCCAGTGCAGCAGGTCCTGCTGCAGCGCCGCCAGCCGCACCACTCCATACTTTATGAGCTGCTCGGGCAGGTGGATGGGCAGGGTGCCTGGGTTGGTTGGGAGGTGGTTGGATGCCGGGAGGGGCATCCAACACGAGGCAGGTGCCCCGCTGGCACAGCAGTCACCTGGTGCGGCTGCCAGGGGACAAGCGTGTTGAAATAGACGCCGGCGCCGAGCCGGTCGGCCACTGCCGTCAGCGCAGCGGGCCCCAGCCAGCCAAGGAAGGAGTAGTGGTGGGGGTGGCGGCGCAGGTTCTGCACAGCCGAGGGGGGCAGCAGGTCGGCTGGAAGGTCGTGCCGCGGCCAGGCGCAGGTCAACGCAGCAGCGGCAGCATTGCACCTCACCTCTTCGTGCCAGGCAACAGGGTCCTCTACCGCGAAGATGAAATCAAGCATGGGGCGGTCTGCCTGGGCACCTGCACTGCTGCCGCCACTGACGCCGCTCGTCGACTCGCCGCCACCTGCCCCATCCCTAGGCGCCTCGTATAGACCTGGCTGCGTGAACACCCCGGATCCATACGCAAAGGCGTGATCCACGGCAGGGAAGTCGCGCAGAACCGAGTGCAGCACGTCTGCGCACATGGCCTCACGATTCATTGTGGTATTGGGGCCCTCCCAGGCGGTCCAGCAGGGTCCCAGGGTCTTCGGTGACACGCAGATGATGCCAGGGCAGCGGCAGGGACGCAACAAGAGCCTTCCCGAGTACTGCTGACCAGCGGTACGGCGGCGACGGCGGACGGACGGCGGCAGAAGTGCTGCTCTTGTGGACGGTGTTCAAAGAGGGGGTCTGTTCATCTGATTACATGAGACAGCTGCCTCTGCGCTTTGCGTGATAAAAGAATCCAGGGACTGGCAGGTAGAATAAGCTGTGTTTGCAATCAATGATGCAAGAACACAGGGAGCGGTCCACAGGCAAAATAGCGGTTAGCATTGCAAGCAACAAGACGAGATAAGGCTACAAATAAGATTATAAGTTCTTCTGCACAATTAACTCGAGAGTTGGGGCTGCCCCAAGGCGAAAGCTTGTGTTCGGGGGCGGGGCGAGCAGGCATTCGGGCCTGCCTCCACCAGGCTCTGCCTCAATTCCATGTGAATTCCTGACTTAGAACAGGGAGGCCAGGTCCAGGGCCACCTGCAGCCGCCCCTCCAGCTGGTCCCAGTCGCCGTTGCAGACAGGGAAGCGCAGGCAGCCAAACAGGTCCTGCTGCTGCATCAGCGGGTAGCCGCCCCACCCCTCCACAACCTCCTGCACCACGCAGCCAGCAACCACCAGCAACGTGGGCAGGATGCCAAAGGAAGCGCACGGGTTGGCCTGCTGGGCCCCAGCACCCGAGGCATCGCCCCGCCTCCCACCAGCCCACCTGGAGCAGCCTGCCGCCCTTGCCCGCAGCCACCAGCTGCTGCAGCGCCGCCAGCATGCCGTCAGAGTTGGATGGGTCCGCCTGCTGCACTGCCGCCGCGGCCTCCGCCAGCGCCCCCTGCGGCTGCTCGGCCGCCCCGCCGCCGCCTGCTGTCGGCTGGGGCGCCGCAGCCGGGGCGGCAGCGGCAGCCGCTGCAGCTGGGGCCGGGCCCATGTGCTGCAGCTTGGCAGCACGGGCCTGCGGGGAACGGGACAAGCGGGCACCCGGGTGAGGCGGTGAAGCAAAAGGGGAGCGCTGAAACGCAGTGGGAGCATACTGTGCAGTTGATAATCCAGGCATGCTGGCGCCAGCTCAGCCGCACCTCCTCCAGCAGCGCCTGCTGCTTGCGCTTGCGAGCGCCCAGCAGCACGCCAGGCGCCAGCGCGGGGGTGGGCGCTGCCGCCACCGGCGCAGCTGCCCCCTTGGACGGCAGCCTGCTGGGGATAGCAATCAGGGCTGCCGCCGCCGCTCCCGCCCCAGCCGTGCCGGGCGCGCCAGCGGCGGGCGGGTCTTGCGGGATGACGGCGGCCATGAACTGGCACAGCTGCCCCGGCGACTTGATGCGCCTGCAGGAGCGGAGAGGGGCCCAGGTGCTGGTGGTTGGCGTGGTTGTGGGGACAGGCACAGGCAGGACTTGAACCTCCTAGTGAAGCCACCCTCCGTGCTGGTTGTTGGCAAACCGCCCAACAGCCAGCATCCCGAGCTGCTGCCCGCCTGAGCTGCTCCACCAGCGCGGCATCTTGCTCGTAGCAGGCGGCGGGACAGTTGAAGGCGGTGGCCGCATCCTTGTCGTCCTCCTCGCCCGCGGCAGCCAGCGCCAGGCGGCGCCAAAGCAGCACCACGTCTGCCGCCACCGCCGTGCGCTGCCGGTCCAGCCGCCCAAACCAGGCGGCCTGGCCGCGCATGGACACCTGCGCAGCAGCAGGGGCGCGGGGACACCTGGCTTTACAGCACGGACAAGATTGTAAGGCAGACTGTCGTGCTTCCAGCTTGCAACGACGAGAGCATGCCACCGGGCTGCCCCCCCCAACACCCGCTCACCGCAACTCCCCAGCGGTGGCTGCTGCCGGCACGCGGCGGGCGCACCCCCACCACGGCCTGCTCCGGCGGCAGCTGCCCAGCCAGCGCCGCCGCCACGCTGCGCGTGCCGCGCGGCTGGAAGCCCAGAGGCTCGCCGCTGGGCGAGCTGTGGCGCTCCCGCGCATGCTCCTCCTGCCACTGCAGAACAGCGGCGGCGGCGGCGGTCAGTCAGTCAGTCAGTCAGTCAGTTTACAGCGCTGCAGCGACCATGATGGTGCCGCAGATACGTCACTTCAGAAACCGTTGTTGAAGTTGCAAAAGGGGCGGTGGCGGCAGGCGAATGGTGATGGCACGCATGCAGCAAGCCGGCCAGGCCCAGCCGCTCACGCAGCACAAGCGCGAGCGAGCCACCTGCAGCCTCAGCCCACCGCACCCCCAGCCTGCCCTCCTCGGCCCCGGCCCCGCCCCACCTCCTCCTCTCCATCCTCGGGCGAGAAGTCGGGATCCTCCTCCTCCCCGCCAAACTCATCGTCAGCAGACTTCTCCTGCGGGCAGGCAGGGGGCAGGGGGCAGGGGGACAGGTTTGAAGCGGAGATGCCGCTGCCGCATGTGCTTGCGCCGCAAAGTTACGTGTGCCTACAGCAGCGCCTGACGCAAGCCCGGGATGCGAGCGCCACGTCAGCAGCTTCCCCCCACCTGCTCCAGCATGTACCACATGAGGGAGCCGGCCGTCTGGCGCTGAGCTGGCACGCTGCCGCCGCTGCTGCTGTCAGACTTGTTGCCCGACCCGCCGCCGCCGCCGTGCTGCGGCTTGCGGTGGCGGCGGCGCAGCGAGGGAGGCGGGGGCGGCGGCGCGGCCAGCTCGGGGGCAGCAGACTTGGTGCTGGCTCCCGCAGAGGGCGCGGGCTGGCGAGGGCCGCCCGCCACGCGCGACCGCCCAGGCACGTGGGAGGCGGCGCCAGAGGCGGCGGCGGCGGCGGCGGCGCTGGGCGAGCGGCTGTAGTTGCGCAGCGCGCACAGCGCGTCGGCCTGCAGGGGCGCAAGCGGCAGCCAGGTCTGGACACCCGCCCACCTGCCGATGCCCACCTCCCAGGCTTTGCTGACTGACATTCAGCTGACTGCGACTCGTCCATGCCAGCACCTGCCGCTTGGCGCCGCCTCGAGCCCCGCCCCGCACCCCGCCCGCCCCGCCCACCTCTGACAGCGGGCCCAGCAGCGGCAGCAGGTCTGCGTAGCCGGTGTTGGCGAAGTTGAGGCCCTGGGCGGCGGCGTTGCGCCACAGCTCCATGACGTCGTGCGCCACAGCGGCCTGCTCCGCGGTGTGGAAGGTGCCTGCGGGGGGTGGGGTGGAGGGGGTGGGAGCAGGGAGTGGGAGCAGAGGGTGGGAGCAGAGGGATGGGGATGGAGGGAGGGTGGAGAAGGTGGGGCCCAACGGGGACGACGGACGGGATGCGTGGGGGTGGAGCAGAAGCGAGGCGAGCGCTGCCTCTGGTGGAAGGCAGCTGCCTGGCCAGCTGGACCGCCCCCGCGTGCGCCAGCCCACCTATGTGCGTCTGCTTGCCCAGCCAGATGTGCGCGTTGTAGCGCTGGCACCGCCTGCAGGGACACGCCGCAACTCGATCAGCAAACGTGGCCAGACACCGGGGACATGGGCACATACGCAACACGGCAGGAGCAGGTGCAGAGCCGTGCCCAGCTGCCCCCCACACCCACAAACCACCCGGCTCACTTGTAGAGCGTGACCCCCTTGAAGCCGCTCTGCCCCTTGGGCCCGCTGTGCAGCGGGCGGTGCGAGGCGCCCTCCTGCACGCCCTCGGGGCGAGGCAGGGTGTGGGAGATGGCCATGGTGCGCCACAGGGCGCTCTCAAAGGCGCCCAGAGCGCTGGCGCCCGCCGAGAAGGGCGCAGCGGCCGGTGGCAGCGGGTTGCGCGCGCCAGCTAGCGGCGGGGGCGGCGCCGCTGCCGCGGTCGCCATGCCACCAGCCGCCGGCGCCGGCTCCGGGACCGCTGCTGCCGCCAGCGGCGAGGTCGCCTGCGCCCCTCCCATCAGCGCTGCCGACAGGGCCTGCAGCTGCGCCTGCTGCGCTGCCGCCAGCGAGGCAGCATCGCTCTTGGCGCCCTCCCCGCCCGTCGCAGCGGCCACCGGCGCCACACCCGGCGGCGGCGCCTCCACCTCCGCCTTAACCCCCTGCTGCTGCTGCTGCTGGGCGGGCAGCTGCAGCCCCGCCTGCCAGTCCGCGGGCGGCAGTGGCGGCAGCGCAGCCGCGCTGCGGCTGGCGGGGCTGGCCGAGACCTTGCGGGCGCGACGGGGACGCGGCCGCGGCGGCGCCTCCACCCCCTCGTCGCTGTCGTCTGTGTCCACGCTGCGGGCGCGCCGCGCTGAGGTGGACGCGCCCCGCGCAGAGGGGGAGCTGTACAGGCGGCCGCTGCTGATGCCGCCGGGGGGCCGCGCGGTGGGCAGCCGGCCGTAGCCGCGCAGCGAGGACACCACTTGCGCCTGCGGCCACGGCAGCAGCAGGCGCGCGGCTCAGCCTTGCACTTGGCGCAGCGAGCAGGCCAGCAGGACAGCCCGGCCTCCGCGCTTTCGGCCCTCCAGGCTACAGCTCCCATGCACACAACCCCAACACCCAACCACGCCTCCCCAAACCGCCCATCATCCCACACAAGCCCACCCCTGCGCCCCGCCACGCCCCGCGCGCCTCACATGGGGCAGCGAGTAGAGCATGGGCATGAGGGCGTCGTAGTCGGTGAGCGGGAAGTTGAGCGCCTCGGCCCGCGCCTTGCCGCTGCACAGCGCGCCAATGTCGTGCGCGTGCGCCGCCTGCTCGGGGACGTCAAAGGCGCCTGCGGGGCGGGCGGGGGGATGGGCTGGGGGCGCTGCGAGGTGAGGCGCGGGGCACGACAGCAAGGGATGTATGTTGTGCAGGCTCCGCAGCAAGTGGCCAGGGCATGGAGCAGGTGCCAGCAGGTGCTTAAAACAAAATGGCACCGAGGATGGCGTGCGCTCCCTGGGCGGTCTAGCAGCTGCCCACCCACCCAGGTACATCTGCTTGTGGTCCATCCATACGTTGGCCTCGTACCGCCGGGTGCGCCTGCGGGACAGGCGGGGCAGGGGAGGGCAGGGGGCAGGGAGGTTTCAGCAGGAGGCCAGGTGTGTTGCGGGGATTGAGGCTGATCGAGGGAGGCCAGGCCATTCCAGGCCTCTCTGCCTCCCCAGCCCCTGCTACCACTAACAACCATGGCTCCCCACACGAGAGGCGCCTCACTTGTGCTGCGTGACGCCGCGGAAGCCGGTGATGCCCTTGGGCCCGCTGTGCATGAGGCGCGCGGCCCCGCGCCCCGACTCGTCCACGGTGGAGGGGCTGCCCTGGACGGCGCCCGGCACGGGCCGCGACTCCATGCACGCCCGCAGCGCGGACTGGAAAGTGTCCAGCTCCGTCTGCCAGGAGGCCATGTTGGAAAGCAGGTTGGCCGCCAGCTCATCCTCCTCCTCCCCGCCGGGACTGCCCCCGGCGGCGGCAACGGCAGCCGGCACGGTAGGCGTGGCGCCGCCGGCGCCCGCCCCCGCCACCCCTGCCGCCAACGTCGGCGGAAGCGCGCCGAGCGGCGCGGCGCTGCTGCCGTCCGCCGCGGCCGCCGCCAGCCCCGCGGGCGCCTCGGGCGTGGCGTCTGTCAGCTGCGTGTCGGGGGCCGGCACGTCGGCGGTGTGGTGCGAGGTGGGCGCGGTGGGCTCGCGCTCTGCATCCATCGCCGCCGCATCCTCGCCCAGCTGGCGCTCCAGGTCAGACAGCAGTGACAGCGTGAAGTCGCTGGCGGCGGGGCCCTGCCCCGCCTTGATGGGGGCTTCCGCGTCAGCCGATGGCACCTCGATTGTAAACTCTGAGGCAGGGAGAGGGCAGGGGGCTGCGGCAGTGGTTGAGGGCGGTGATAGCGCGGCGACGGGTGCGCAGCAAGGGCGGATTGGGCGCGCCTCCAGCCGCCGTCGGAGGGTCTGGCTGTCGCGCCGGCGCAGCAGCACCCACGTGCGTGCAAGACGGTCAAAAGGCGCAGTAACGGCTCAGGGGAGCGTCCAGCACGCAGCGCAGCACCCACCTGGCTGCATGGTTGGGGCGCCGTGCGGCGGGCGCACCAACGCTACGCGTGGCGTGCAGAGTCGGGCGCCGACCTCACCACGAACTCAGTGAAAGTGTCTGCATCAACAGGAATAGACAGGAGCAGCAAATCAGATGAGGAGAAAGGGCAGGCAGGCAGGGTCTCATGTGCAGCTCGCAGTTGAAACCTGCGCCGACGGCGGTTCGGGGACGGGGACGGGCCCGCCGCCGAGGGCGGATAGCGCCTCAGCAGGCATCTGGGGCGGCTGCAACGCTGCCTTTGCCCCTCCCGCTCGCTCCACCACGGCCTTTGGGTGCCCCATGGCCCTGCCAGGCCGCCATCGGCTTGCGCCCAGAAACTGGGCGCCCCGGCCCGCACACGGGTGCCCCGCCCCTGCCCGGCTGTTTCACAGGCACATACGCGCCAACAAGGCGCTCGTGGGCTTCGCTGAGGCAGCCTTTTTCCTCGGCTCTTGGACGGCGATGCCACCGCCGAGCTCACCTCTGCAGCACGGTTCGCTGGGCACAGCTCCTGATAACTCGCACGTAGCTCTGCTTACGCCTGGGGGTGCTGTGGCACTGTGCTCAAAGCGGGATGGCCACCACGCCTCCCACTGCGCGTCACAGCTCGTGGCTGGCGCCAGTAAGCAACCCTGCAGCCTTCCAATACAAGGGGTGCGCGGAGGAGCGGCGATACGATGACTGCAAGGGAATGCTGCGTGCCAAGGTCGAGCCCAATGCGATCCACCAGCCACCCCGCGTGCTACTGCTAGCCTTGCAGTATGTGTAGAAGCACCCGGGAAGCCGGTGCAACAGGCAGCGAGACCCGCCGGGCGCCAAGAACCCTGATTGAGCGCCCCTGGCATGGCAGGGTCCTAGGCGGCGTGTTCCTTCTCGTTGGCACGCCTGCGGCCGCAGACGAGCCAACAATGATTACAAGGGCAGCGGGCAAGGGCAGCAAGGCTGGCAATGTGGCGGCCTTTTGATGGCGGCGGCGGCATGCCTGGGCGGGAACGCAGGCGTGCAGAGGCCCTGGCTTCTGGGGCTGGCGTTAGCACTGAAAAATGACGGATACCATGGCCCAGGTGCACCCACAGCAGCACCAGCCACTCGGGTTGCCTGCCAGCAGCACCAGGTGCCGCCGTTCGGACGCTGCAGGTCCGTACCGCAGCGACGAGGTTGGTGACAAAGGAGCGGCCAGTGTTCAAAGAAGCTCAGCAAACAGACGCACGAAGCAGCGAGTGAAAGGAAAACTTGCTCCCATTATTATAAGGGCAGGATGCACCTCCGCACCGAAGAAAGAGATGGAAGTTTCGCCGGCGCGGCGCACCCCCTCACGCCTTGCGCGGCGGCAGCACCTTGACCGTGCAGTTGGCCATCAGCCAGTCCATGACCTTGTTGGCCTGCACCGTCTCAAACACCTGCTCCCGCAGCCGCTCCGCATCGAAGTCCTGCTTGTACTCGCTGAACTGCCGCGCAGCTTCACGGAACTCGGCCTGCGGGAAGCGACCCGTCGGGGAGGCAGAGTGGAGCGGGGTGAGGACGTACCGAGGGCAGTTGCACCGGGTGGCAGCTTTGGCAACCCCAAACCGCCCAGGCTGCGGCACGCGGTCCAGGAGCGCCGCCCGCGGCAGCCCGATCTGACACACTGCGCGGCGCCCACCTCGATCTCGGCCTCGCTGGGCTTGAGCCCCTCCTGCACCGCAATGTCCTCGAAGCCCAGCAGCGAGCGCTGCAGCTCCAGCAGCTCCTCCCGCCGGCTGGTCACAAACTGCTGTGCCTGCGGGGACGAGCGAGGAGGGGATGGGTGAGCGGGTGGCAGGAGTTGGGAGTCGTGTGTGGCGGGTGAGCATGCAGGGTGGGAAGAAAGCGGGCCAGGCACAGGGATCCTGGGTGCGCAGGCAGGGGCGGAAGGTGAAGTTTTTGGAAGGTGAAGTTTTCCCTCTCACCAGCTCCGGGGTGGCCAGCTGCTTCACCGTCTCAAACGTCAGCTGGCCCTCAGACAGGAAGCGGTTGAGCGAGGCGCTGCAGGGCGGGCCGGAGGGCGGCATGCGGGTCACAGACAGGATCCACAGCCACGGCCCCGCCCGCACCACCAGGTTCACGACTTGACAGCGCCAGGCCCCACATGCCGCCTGCACACGCAATGCCTGCACCCGCCGCTGCTCCCCACCTGTACTGCTGGCTCCCCAGCTCGCTCAGCAGCGACTCAGGCACCTCGCAGTCCACCGCCTTGCCCACCGCCGAGGTGAAGGCGTCGGCCACGCGCTCCCGCTGCGCCGCCTCCCGCTCCTCCCGCACCTTCTCCAGCAGCCGCTGCTGCAAGCCCGCCAGGTCAGCGCCCTCCAACACCTTGCCCGCCCACTCATCCGTCAGCTGCTCCGGGGGCGGGGGACGGTGCCGGAGCAGAAGAGGCAGCAGGGTAAGCGGGGCAGCAGGACCATGGCGGGACAGCGGGACCGGGACCATGCCCCGCAGGCACCTTGACACCTGCCCCGCTGCCTCGCTGGGCCACGGCGCCGCCTGCGACGCGGCACTTAGCGTCGTGCACGCTGTGCTATGCTGCCTGCGCTGAATCCTCCTCCTCCTCCCCTCCTCCCCCTCACCTCTGGCAACTCGTAAGTGAACAGCTCAGTCATCTTGACCTTGACCCGCGCCTCCATGCCTCGCAGCGGAGCAGGCTGGAACGCCTCTGCAAGCAGGCGGGCAGGGCAGGCGGCGCAGAGGCGCGGATGTCGTCAGCGCACGAACGGCTGCAGGCACCGCACCACTCCCCAGCTCGCTCACCGTCGGTGGGGAATGTGAGCGGCGCCTCCTTCTCCTCCCCCGCCTTCATCCCGCTGATGATGGCCACAATGCCTGCAGAGATGTGGGAAGACAGGCAGGGTGGACAAAAGCAAAGGCAAGAGAGCCGGCGCCAGCACTCAGCCCTGGATTGTCCCGGACCCTGTTTCCAGCACCTGGCACCCACCCCTGCCACCATTTCAACCCCCGCCATGCCACCCAGCCCCGCACCTGGCAGGAACGTCTCGTCTGCATCGTCGGTGTCCAGCCGCATCGACTGGCGGGTGGCCCCCACCAGCTCCTCCCCAGTGTCGGCCCGCGCCGCACTGAAGTCCACGATCGCAAGGTCGCCAGGCTGCGGTGCAAGGGACGGAGGGAGATGGACAGGTTGGGCAGCACGGGGTGGCACGGGGACAGGCTCGGGGGAGGCACGCACACGTGCATGCAGCCGGCCGCGCCGCGTGGGCGTGGGCTAGCGCTGCCGTGCAGCCGGCCGCGCCGCAGGTGCAGGCATACCTGCAGGCCGCGGTCGGCCACCACCCTCAGCTTGGCCTGGCCCTTGCGAATGGACACCAGCCGCCGCTCCACCTCAGCCGCATCGCTAGCCTCGTCCCCAGCAGACTCCACAGTCACCTGGGGCAGGCGAGCAGGGCCCACAGGGAGCAGCCAGGTGGGCGGCTAGCGGCCGGGCCCCTCCACTGCTGCCACCACACTCTCTGGTTGCCTCTTCTCCCGCCTCGCCCCTCACCCGCCTCACTCCCACACGCGGTGCCACCCCACCTGCAGCTCCCGGTAGGGAGTCTTCCAGCTGAGGGAAGGCACCGCGTCAAACAGAACCGAGAATGTGAACCCAGAGTCCAGGCTGCAAGCGGGCAGGCAGGCAGGCAGGCAGGCAGGTAGGCAGGAGTGGCAGGCCAGGCCGGCAGGGAGGCAGGCGCGACGCCCGGGCACGGCAAACGCCGCCTGCCAAGGCTGCGCGGAGACGCCCAGCGGGCCACCAGCCCCCACCTGCAGCCGCACCGCCCCCTCCCGCCAATATACATCAACACCCAAGCGGGCCCCAGCCCCCACACGCGAGCCCAGGCACGCCCCCCACGCGCCTGAACAGCGCCTCCAGCTCCTCCGCCCCCTGCTCAATGCGCTCCGACTCGGGCACCGCCACGCCCTCGTACGGCGCCATGGCCGCCGCCACCGCCGGCTCCAGCAGCTCCGACAGCGCGCTGTTGGCCACGCGGGCCATGCCGCCCACATGGGCGATCAGCGCCGCGTCGGGGGCCTGCGGAGGGGGCAGGGCAAGCGGCGCGCGCCGATGCGTCGCCCGCCCGGCAGCCGCAGCCAAGGCGTGCGAGGGGGCTCGGCAGCCGCCCTGCTGGGGGCCCCGGGTCGGGCGCCGGTCTCCAGCCCATGTTTGTGTGTCACTGGATTGTCCTGTGTATCACATGATACAGCGCCCGCCCCACCTTGCCCTTGCGGTACCCATCCAGCGTGGCGCCCTTGCGCAGCTCCTCCATCACCTTTTTATAGGCCTGCAGGCAAGGCGCGGTTGCGTGGGAACAGTGGCTGATGGGGGCCTTTCTTCCCCTGCCGGCCCTTGCATCCATCTGCCAGCCCATTCGTTGTTGTGCCAGCCGCCAAGGTAGGGCGCCACTGGGGAGAGCTCGCGGCAGAGAAGGTTGGGATGGCTTGCCTGCTTGCACTGCTGGGTGGGCACGGTGACGTGCAGGCGCGTGGCAAAGCCCTCCAGCTTCTCCTCCCTCACCGCCACACCCGGTGCGGCAGGAGCCGCCGCAGCCGCCACGACGCACCGGCGCGCGGCCTGGGGCTGTCGACGGGCTGTGTGCTGCTGCGGCTTGGCCGCGCGGCTGGCGGGAGTCAGGCCGCTGGTGGGCTGCACCAGGGGATGCAGCAGTGCATCAGTCAGCACGGCAAACACATGCCGCAACAGCAGCACCACGAAAGCAACAGCGAGCTCTAGTGGGAACTGACAAGTTGGCCAAGGGATAAGCCGGCGGCGGCGGCGGCACCCGTCCATGCTTTGCATGTGGCCGCTGGGCAGGCACATTGCCGTGCGGCACGCTGCAGGAGCTGGTGGGCGTGCTGGCAAGCAGCGTGCCTTCGGTGCATGTTGTGCGGCCCTGAAGGAGGCGGAGGGCACCGCCACGGCGCGGGCTGCGACTGTCTGCGCGTGCATGGCTGCGCTCGTGATCTTCGAGCGGCAATTGGAGCCCTGCAGGCGCTTGTTGCAGGGCAACCAAATGCCACTGTTTCGGGTGGGGCGTGAGTGGAGCCCTGCTGCACAGAATCCAATCGGAGCGTGAGAGAGAGCTGGCAGGGCACCCAGGCAAGCCCATGCATGAGCGGCGGAAAAATGCCAGCGAGGCAACCTCGCGGGCTCACTCTCTAAAGCCCACCGCCGTCCTCTGCATGCACAGGACAGTTGTTTGTGGCGGCATATCTGTGAGAGAGGCAACATGGCGAGCAACAGTGCAGAGCCCGATTCGGGCGGCGCAGACTGGTCCTACCGCATGATTATCGAGGATCGTGAGTGCGCCGGGTGCTAGAGGTGGAAGTGTTGGGGGTGCAGGCCGCCCCTGGCTGCCCAGTCACCTGTGCGCACCTCGTTGCTGCAGGCTACAAGCGGCTTGCGGTGATGCGGCGCGGCATTAGAATCTCTGCGCTGGCGCAGCTGGTCTACATCTGCGTACGCACACTGTGGCACTCGATCCCCTTCTTCACTGGAGGTCCGCCGCTGCCGCCTGCCGCTGCCGCCACTGCTCGTGCTTGCTGTCCTTGCAGCGGCTGCCATTGCCCTTATCATGCATCCCACGAAGCATGGGGAGGCAGCAGGCTGGGCCAGCAGCGCCAGCTGCGCGTCTGGGTTGCCGCCACCGCCGTCCGCTCCCTCCCAAAATGCTCCGTTGCGGAGCAACACCGGCTCTCCCAGCCCGCTGCCGCCACCGCCCTGCCTGCCCTCCCGCCCTTGCCTGCTGCACGACTGCCGTGCCGCCACATCCTCCTCCCACCCCCCGACCGCCCTGCAGAGGACCCTCTGGCCAGCAGCACCGAGTACATCTTTTACGCGGGGGTGGCGCTGTTCCTGATGCGCGGCTGGGCCTTTGGCTTTGGAAAGGCCAACCGTGAGAAGCTGGGCGCCATCATGACCTACTCCATCCTCTCCATGCTGCTCCTGGCGGAGGTGGGCGGGGCTGGAGTGTGTGGTAGCTGTGGTGGGAAGAGGCTGACGCCACAAATGTTGGAGCAAGTGGCCTTTGTCCTAGGCCTGAACATGCAGCTGGACACCTCCATCCTCCACCTCCTTGGCCACTGCGACTGCCGCGCCCAACATGCCTGCACCGCCCAACCTGTACCGCCTGCTGTACTGCCTGTTGTACCGCCTGCTGTACTGCAGTGCTTCCTCATCTTCTACATGTACTACATCGATGAGCACATGATGGGCCGCAAAGACAACTGGCAGTACCCGCACATGCTGGCCAAGCACTATGCCGGCCGCCTGGGCCTCAGCGCAGCCGCGGTGGTGACGGCGGCGCAGGTGCGTGGCGGTTCGGGGCAGGGCAGGGTACCGGGTGCGAATAAGGGGCTGCCCAGCCTCCGCCACATGCAACCCTGCAGTGCATGCAATGTATGTGTGTTGCTCCTCCTGGTCCCGCAGTGGTTTGAGCGGAGTCTGGATGTGTTGGGCTTGATCGCGGGCGCTGTGAATGTGTACATCACTAAGGTGGGATACCAGAAGGCATGGCCTGGCCTTGCAAGGGTGCCGACAAGCTCCCTTCCCACTGCTCCTCCCACCTCAGCCCCTCCCCTTTAACTCCGCTGCTGCGCCTCCTCTTCTGAGAAATCTCCTCTCCTGCAGGAGTATGTGATGGAGAAGAAGGAGCAGAAGAGGGAGGCGGAAGCCAAGAAGGAGGCGGCGGCGGCATCCAAAAAGGATTGAGGGGGCCAAGCTCTGCCATGGCTGGGCGCTTATGCCTGCACCGGCGCCGCCCACCACCCTCGGCAGCCGCAATGCGGATGCGGCGTGACGGCAACCAGCAGCGCCCATCCAGCTGCTGCCGGCAGTTTTTGAGCGCTACCCTGTAGCCTGCTTGTCTGAAAATGAACATTGCCACCCTTGTCTGCCGTCATTTTGAACCCTCGACGGTTAGCGAGGGGCCACTTGTGTGCAACAAGCTTGCGTTTATCACAGGAAACGGAAACGACATGCGTATGCAAGGCCCTCAGTCAGTACGCCAGCTTGCTGCCGCCGCCAAGAGGGAACTCGCCGCCCACACCCTGAAGAGGGGCGGGGGCACAAGGCAGGCATAGACCCAGGCCAGCTGCCGTGCGGCCACGGCAGGCGTCGCGGCCCCACTTCCCAAAACCGCCGCCCACCTGCTCCGCCAGCCAGGTGTTGCGGGTGGGGCTGTCGACCGCGATGCGGCGCTCGCCCTCCGCGATGGGCGCCTCGTTGATTGAGGCAATGCGCTTGCGCATCAGGCCCTGCGCGACAGGCGACAGCAGGGTTGCAGGCATCAAGCCGACGAGCGCCCCGCCGCCTGCGTGCGCCAGCGCCCCGATCGGGCACAGCCTGGGAGCTCACATTCTGTGCAAACTCCCAATTCTCGTTTCCGTACGCCCTGTACCACTGCCCCGCCTCGTCCTGGTATTCATACTCGAAGCACACGCTGATCCTGGAGTCACGACATCAGGAGGCGCATGTGCGGGTGTGGGTGGGTGGGTTGGTGGGCAGGAGGTAGGCAGGCAGCGGCAGCGGGCACCAGGCATGCACGCCCACGCCCCGCCCTGCCATGCCGGCTGCCCGGCGCCGCTAGCGGCAAGAGAGGGTGCACCGGTTTTGCACGTGTCCAAAGTAGTATTTGCGCAGGACGTAGTGCCTCTCCTTCTCCCACTTTCGCCGGAGCAGCTGCAAGAGATGGGGGACGCGATGTGGAGCGGGCTGGTGCATGGGCATGGCAGCGAGCGGCAGCCGCTCACCTCCCGCACAGCCTCGCGGCCCTTCACAAACTCTGCCCTGTTGCGCCACTCGGTATCGATGGTGTATGCCAGCGCCACCCGGTCGGGGTCCCTGCACAGACGAGTGCTCAGCGGGACGGTGGAGCGCGGCGGTGGCGGTGGCGGCGGCGGAGCGCACAAGGCTGGAAGGCTGCGGGGCCGCCTGAGCGCAATTGCGCATTGATGCCCTGCGCATTGATGCACTGCATAGTTGCGAATACAAACTCGCCTCGTGTTCCAAGCATCCTCCGCCGCTTGCACCTTGGCGCGGGCCGCCTCTTCTGTGAACGGGGGCAGAGGCGGGCGGCTGCTCTCGGTGTCCATGTTCGGCAGTGCTAATAGATAGACACGAGGGGCGCCAGGCGAGCTAGTCGAGGATGATGTCAAGGCTCACCCCCCAGTGTGCCGCTGCTGCGGCGGTACCTGATGCATCTGTCCTAGAGAGAACTTGATGCGCCACCTCCGTTGCATTACTCGTACATACATCTCATCGAGAGCATTCAGTAACGGCGGATGCAAGCAGACAGGCTGCTGTGGGCCCTTGTGAGGGAGGCGGCACCTGTGCCGCCGCCGACCGCTCATCCCGGCGACACGGCGTAGCACAGCACGGCGGGCCACTGGCTGCCCTCCACTGGGATGACGCGCCAGGGCTGCACCCACCACCAGGCAGGCAGCGCGCAGGGAGCAGAAAGAGTCATGTGAGCAAGCCGCTGAGGAGGTTCAGCATCAGCCACAGGCCACCCCAGCCAGCCAGCCAGCCAGCCCACCTCTCTCAGCAGGATGACGCTGCCGGGCGCGGTGTCCACCTCTCGAGCTGTGCGGTTCTGCAGCAGCGCTAAGGCCTCGGGGCATCCCAGGGCGGCCGCCGCCACGCCGTCGCACCTGCGCAGGCGCAGGCAGGCACGCTGCGTGAGCGCGCTGAGCAAGGTAAGTCTTGGCCCGCCTTGGGCCCATTGCAGCAACATGCTCTTGAAGGTCTGCATGGTGGCTGGCTGTGCTGTCCAGGCCCAGCCATGCAAGCTGCGACTGAGCTGGCCGGGCCGCAGCAGGGCAGCTCCACCACTTGCCTGCAGTGGCACTTGGTCACACCCGCCTCTAGCTCCTTTTGCAGCACAGTCAGGCGCGGCCCCGCAGCCGCCCCACCCGCCGGCGACTGCGCCGTACCCAGCCCCGCCCGCTCGGCAGCCAGGATGGCTTGCATGCGGGCGTGCAGCCCCGCGGCGCCCGCCAGGCGCTGCCGCTGCTGCTGCATGTTGGCCGCCGCCGCGGGGCGGCTCACGGGCTGGAGCTGGGCGATAAACTGTCGCTGCAGCGACAGCGCCGTGCCGCCGGCAGACCCTGGGGTGGCTGCGGCGGCTGCGGGGGTGGCTGCCATGCCGACGGCGTGGGCGCCACCGCCCGCGCCACTCTCCAACCCCTGCTCCTGCCCAAGCTCCTCCTGCCGGACACGCCGCAGCGGCTGGCCCGGCGTGCGGAAGTGGTCGGCGACAGCCCCCTCTGCTGCTGCTTCGTGCGCCGGCTCCCCATGCTGCTGCTGCCCCGGCTGCTGCCGCTGCCAGCCGTGGCCGTCTGGAGGCCCCGGAACCTGCTGCTGCCGCGCCTGCTCCTGCTCCTGCACCTGCTCCTCCTCAATCACCTCCCTGGGAGAGGGCGGGCGCTGCGGGCGCGGCTGGAAGTGCTGCTGCCGCAGCGCCGATGACGGCTCGCTGCCGGTCAGCAGCCTCAGCCCTGTTGCCGCCGTCAGGCCGCCGTCGCAGCCGCCAAGCGCTGATGCGGCGGGCCTGGCGGCGGCAGCCTGCGGCTGGCTGCTGGCCGCATCCGGCGCTGCGTCGGCCCCGGCCTCGCGGATGGCAAAGCGTGAGTGCTGGTGCTGCGGCTGCAGCTGCCGGCGCGGGGCCGGGAGCTGGCGGGGCGAGGTGAGCGGCGCATCCCGCAGTCCCAGCTCACGTAGCCTGCTGCCGCTGTCGCTGGCGCCGGCCGCGGGGCCGGAGCCTGCCGTCGTGGCTGCACCATAGATGGGGTGCCTGCCCCGCAGCCTGCTGCCGGTGGTGGCTGGCCGCTGCTTGGCGGCGCCGGCAGCGCCGCCGCTGCTGCTGGTAGCGGCGCCGCCGCTCCCCAGCAGCGCCGCCAGCGGGTTGGTGCGCTGCGAAGGCTGCGGCGTGTGCTCGGCAGGCGGCTGGGGCAGAGGCGCGGCCTGCGGGGAGCCCCACTGCACTGCACGCTGCTGCGGTCGCCGGCGCTGCGACTGGTGCTGCCTGGCGTGGCCCGGGGCGGCGTGCAGGGCCTGCCGCTGGGCGTGCGCCTGCAGCAGATCTGCGTCTATGCTGAAGAAAGAACTGCTGCCGCCGCCGCCACCGCCGCTGCCCTCGACGCCAGCCAGCGCCGCCGCCGTGCCAGGCTCCCTAAGGGGCGCTGCCCAACGCGGCTGCGCTGCCAGCACCGACGCTGGGTCTGGCTGGGGTGCGCGCCAGCGCCGGCCGCCGGATGACGCGCCGTCCCCTCGCGCCGCAAGCTGGGGAGGCAGCTGGGACGGGGGCGGCACTGCGGGGCTGGTGTGCCTGATCTGGCGCCCCACACCGCTGCGCCGCCGCCCCACCGGGCCTTCCTCCGCGTCTTGCTCCGGCTGCTGCTGCTGCGGCTGCTCCCGTGCCGCTGCTTGCCGATCCCCTTGCTCCTCCTGCTCCTCCTGCTCCTCCTGCTGCGGCTGCTGCGCTAATTCGTGGATGAGGGTCTGCAGCTCCTGCGCCAGTGTCAGCTGCTGCTGCTGCTGCTCGCCAGCGGAAACGAGGCCCGTCGGGCTGGCCGTGCCGTCGCCTCGCCCGCCAGACACGGTGGGGGACGCCGCCCCGCCGACAGCTGCTGCTGCTGCCGCTGCTGCGGATCCAGGGGCGGACGGCTTGGCTGCGCTGCCGGCCTGGGGCAGCGCGTAGCGCGAGCGGGCAGCCTGTGGAGAGGGAGGGCCGGCAGCGGCGGCAGGCAGTGGGGGGTGGCAAATGCAACAGCACTGTGCGCCCCTGCAGCGCCCTCCTGCACCTCATGTAACCTTGGCGGCCAGCCCCAGCCTCATGGCAGCTTGAGGAGGGCCTGCAGCGCTTACTGGGCCCGCTTGGGAGGCGTCCTGAGAGGGTTGAGCGGCATCGCCGTAAACCACGCGAAATGTATGTTCCTCGTCGTCATCCAGCGAGTCTGGAACGTGGTGCTGGTGGGCCAGCGCCCCGCCCGGCCCCCACATCGCGATCACTTAGCTTGTGGCATTGAAGCAAGCAATTTTGAATTCATAGACCCGCCACCAATGACATCTGCCAGCCCTGAGGTTGCAAATATAGCAACATGCCGTCGCCCGCCGCCACCTCAGCGCCGCTGGGCGTGGGCTGCGCACATTTGCAACACCGCCATTTAGCACCCGCTGCCTGACCTGGAAGCTATCTTACTGAATGCCATTTTTTGTGGTGTCCAAACACTGGTATCCAACCACTGAGCCGTCAAGGGCCGTGCTAACTGCAACCTGGGCCCACCGCAGTCGCCGTGACGTACCACTTGAAGCTGGGCCTCGCATACAGAGTATGTCTAGCGGTAAGATCCATGACGCCAGGATCATGCACATCAGGCCATTGTGACGATGTGCTGGCTCTGCGTCCACTCCCGCCTCTGCTGCCTTGCGCCACTGGGCGCCAGCGGGACACCGCCTCGCCCCATTTGGTGACAAGCGGAGCCCATCCCGCAAATCGATTGCTGTCCTCGCTATTTACACCCAAGCAAGCAACTAGATAGCTTCCACAGGTGCTTGCAGCCTGCATTTGCAAAAGTCATGGAAGACCCGCAAGCTGAACCGCGGGGCGGTGGCGCTCCCGACACACAGCCGACAATCAACTTGCATCCAGCCGGGCAGGCGGAGCCAAAGGACAAGGGTGAGGGGTTGTGACCGTCCGTTCCGACGATCTTGTTTTGCGCTGTCCAGCACGCTCACTCCCACCCTGCAATGCGAGAAATGAGCAGGCAGCAGGGAGCGGCGTCCGCGGGTAAGGGTATGTGAGGGAGAGCCGCCGCCACCGCCACCTCTTGCGCCACCTTCCCGCCCACCTGCAGGTCCGGCATCCGGCTTTGCGTTTGCTCATTCGGCTGGCGGCATTGGGGCTGTCTGCATGGAAGCGCCCTCCGTGCCGCACGAGCCCGTGCCAGGGCGGATGCTGGTGGGTGGGGCCAGCCGCCTCTTCTACGGCCGCCAGCCGCCGCAGGCGGCGGCAACCAGCCATAACCAGGCTGCGCCAGCCAAGGGCGTGTCACGCGTCGACCTGGAGTCGAGGGAGAGCGCCGCGGTGTGGCAGCAGTGGTCTGGCGGCGACGACTGAGCACAGGCTTGCCATGCTGTTGTCACTGCATTGTACTGCAACCCACACTCCCGTTTTGCAAGCATAATGCCGCTTGTTTGCTAGGCTGCCCTCCATTTTGCCTCCCCATCCCCAGTTGCCTCCTCTTTCACAACATGGGAAGTAAATCAACGCTGCAGCTCCTCAAGTTAAACACCTTCGGTACGCAGCGCCGCCAGCACAAATGCTTGTGCCTGGCTGGCTGCGCCGCATGCCTCCACCTGCCGCCATGTTAGCTGCCGCTCTTGTGTGGGCAGCCGTGCATAGTGCCGCAAGAAGGCCTGCAGCGGGCAGGGTTGTCCATGCCAGGGGTGCATTGGTGGCTGGAAAGATGGGCAGCCGCAAGACAGCTTGGAAAGCAGCAGCACCTTCACATCGGCCCCACAGCAAAGCGGCATCCCTGAGCGCTTCCCACCTCGAGAAACTCTCCTGGCACCGCGGCTTGTCGCAGCATGCCAAGCAAACTCATGAACAGGCCTCGCTGGGTGGTGGGAGGGGCGCCATCTGTGGCTGGCTGGTCAGCTGGCCGGTGCGGCTGCTCCGATGTGGGCTGTGGCCGGTGCTGCGCGGGTTGGGGCGGCGCAGTCTGTTCCTGCGGCGGCTGAGGCTGCGGCTGCGGCTGCTGAGCTTGCTCAGCTTGCTGCAGCTCTTGATTCTGCTGCTGATCCTGATTTTGCTGCTGCTCCTGAGCCTCCTGTTGGCAGGGCGCTGTCGGTTGCAACTGCTGGTGGCTGCCAGCTGGCAGGCTTGGCGTCTTGGGAGGCTGCTGCCCCAGCGATGGAGGCTGCGCATCAGAAGGTGGCGCCAGCAAAATGCTGGCAGTGGGCTGCGCATCTGCTCTGATGCCATCCACGCCGTCCCGCCTGCTGCTATCCCTGCCGCTGCCACCCGCTGACGTCACCTTTGGCGGCCAAGCCCCGCCCAGCGCTGTCTTGCGTATCACCAGCCGCAGCTTGCTGCCGCCGCATGGCGCGGGAGCGGCTCCAGCTGCTGGCCCTGTGGACCCTGCGGCTGCTTCCGTGGCCCCTGGTGCTGCTCCAGCTGCTGGCCCTGTTGACCCTGCTGCTGCTTCCGTGGCCCCTGGTGCTGCTCCAGCTGCTGCCTCATGACGCCCCGCCGGCGCACCAGCCACTCCCATAGGCTCCGCCAGCAAATCCCCATCAAGCCTCGGGCGCTTCAGGGCGCCCCCTCCTGCTGCTGGTGCTGGTGCTGGTGGTGCTGGTGCTGGCGATGCGGTCTTTGCCGCTGGCGGGGCCTGCGCAGGGAGGTGCTGGGCAGGCTGGCAGCGGGGGTCCCGCCACGATCGCTTGCTGCTGACCACCACTTCTGCTGCTGCGGCAGGCGCTGCTGCGGCAGGCGATGCAGCCGACACATGCTGCACTTGCCCCGGGGTAGCCAACACAGGCTGCAGTGGCGGCGGCTGCAGCGGTGCAGCGACCGCCAGCGGCTGGGCGCGGCCTGCTGCCACGGGCACCCCGCTGCGTGCCTGCGCCTCTGCCACACACATTGGGCAGAACCAGTCGGTCTGCAGGCACGCAGGGAAGGAGGGGAGCCACACATGCGCGTTGAAGAGCAGGGAATGGCACCCTGCGTGCCACTCCGGGGCCGGCCCGTCTGCCCCATCCCCATCCCCATGGGCGATACATGTGCATGTGCTCCTGTCTCCCCCGCCCACCTCGGGCACTGCTTCCAGCCCAGCGCACTGCTCGTGATAGGCAGCGGTGCAGCCGTCGCAGCACACCAGCTCCCCGCCCTCGCCGCACTGCTGGCACTGCAGGCGGGCGGCGGGTGCGGGAGGGCGATCAGTCGGGAATGGATGAGTGGCAGAGGGGAGGAGCGACGCGACAGGAGGCTGTTGCGAAATGAGATGCTCGGCGCCGCACACCAGCAAGAATCTGATCAGAGCGCTGCCAGCGCGCCACACTCGCCTGATCGTCATGAGGGTCCACCTCGGCGACGGCGGCGGCAGCGGCAAGGTGCGGGCTGTTGATCAGCTCCAGCAGCGCCGCCAGGCTGAGGCTGTTGGCTGCACCAATTCCAGCACCGACAGGCAGCCACGCGGGTGATGGGTCGGATGCAGGGCAGCAAAGCATCTGGCTGGGCCATGAGCATTGATCGGCAGACTGACATGAAGGGCAGAGGTGCTTGTACAAGCAACGGTGGCCAGGGAAGCGGCACGAGCAGCACAGCTTGGGGCTGCCCACGGCAGCAAACGGCGGCATAGCCAGGGCAGAGGCACACCTTCCAGGACCACCACCGCCTCTGCCGGGCTGAGGGCGGCGCTGCCGCAGTGCGCGGCAAAGAATGCCAGCGCAAAGCTGCGGGCGCCGCCGCACTGGGCGCAGGCGCAGGCCACCCTGCCAAGCGCGTCCAGCTGCCCGCGTCCCAGCACGCCGCCGCCGTGGGCCTGCACGCGCACTTCCTGCAGGTGAGGCGTGCACAAGTGCGATGGTGGTTGGTGCGGGCAATCAATGACGTTGGAAGGGGTGGAGGCAGCCAGGCGATCCGTTGCCGCTCAGCTGAAAGCACCCACCTGCCCTGCCAGGTGCGGCGTGCTCAGCATCTGCCGCAGGCTAGTTGTCTGCCCTGGCTGCAGGCCTAGCGTGCGGCGCACAAAGAGCGCCAGCCGGAAGACGTCGTGCGGGTGGCTGGCTGCCAGAGCCAGAACCGCGGAGTCGCCAGCAAGGGTGTGCGGGTGCGCAGGCGGCGCCGAGTGCGGCGGCGGCTGGGCCAGGCCGGCGGCAGGGAGAGGCAGCGGGGTCTGGTCAGTGGCCAGGGTCGCCATTGGAGCCTCGCCCTCAACATCATCATCGTCGTCAAACAACAGCTCCGCCAAGAAATCGTCCTCTGTCGCCATTTTCGGCAGCACCCACTTAGCCGCCGTATCTGCAGGCGGCAGTCGACGGTGGCGTGGCGGCACTCATACCGTCGACCACAGCGCTGCTGACGCCATCCAAGCCTGGGCCGCTTTGCTGGGCAGGCTCACAGCCGGCTCAGAGGCAGGGCCACAACCAGCCCGAAAGTTGAGAGCGCTCTGCAGCTCCTGACCTGCTGAATGTTAGCACTTCGCAGGCCTTTGTTTCGATTGCACTTGCCCAGGGGTGACGCGATTGCTTGCGCTTCGTTCAGCTCAAAGCGGGGGGCAAAGCGAGGAGGGTGCCCCCACGCGGCTTCCTGCAGAGGCGTCTCCACTTCTCCTAGGAGCGGTTGAGAGGCATCCGCAGAGCAGTGGAGAAGTGGGCCACATCTGATGATTGCAATCATCACCGCGCCAGCGCGGCAGCGCATGGGGTTGGTGCGCCGCTCATGGGGCCGCTTCTACTCACTGGCTTCATCAGGCGGTCGCCCTGCGAGCCTTGGGCAGGCCGGCTGTTTCAACATCGTTTGTGGGGTTTTCCTCTCAGACTTTTTTCAAAACATAGCAACGCACACTCTGGCGTCCCATGCAGCTGCCAGCGCCCGGCAGCGGTGGCATGGCCAAACAGCGGGGGCTGCACCTCCTCTCAATAATGAGGCGGACACCATCAGAGCTGTTCGCATCCTGAAAGAGCAGAAGCAGCACCCAAGTGAGATAGCCCCAGGGAACGGTGCAGCCGGAAGGGGCTGTTTCCGGGCCGTTGCGCGCTGAAGGAGCGTTGGTGTGACAGGAGGATCACTTTGCGCCGCCACAGCTGGCGAGAGGGGCCCGCCACTGACACCGCAAGACCCCGTTGCTGGCGTAGGTGACGCGTCTTGTGCTCTAAACGCCGCGCCCACCCCACGGATGGCCTAACTAGCGCGATGGAGCGTGCTGCCGGCTGGCTGGCCGGCGGTGAAGCCACCGCAGCGGCAGGCAAAGGCGCGGCAGCTGCACCCCCTGCTCCACGCTGGCCACCTCCTGTGGCCGTTGCTAGCCACGTGCCGTTTACCGGCGCGGCAGCTGCTGTGAGCGGCCTGCCCGCCGCCGCCCCAGCGGATGCTTCCGAGGCCGCCGACGCAGTCGCGCGCTCTGGCGGCACGCCTCCACCGCCGCCGCCACCGGCCCACGGCGACTCCCCGCCTCCCCTGGAAGATGCGCCGGGCGCAGCAGCAGGCGAGGGCCCGCCGCCACCAGGGCATCCAGCCGACGGGGCACAGACGGCGGCAGCGGCAGCGCCACCTGCAGAGGCGCCACTGCTGGACCTACCGGCTCTGCGCCAGATGTTCTTTGACCAGCCCACATCGCCGCCCGACCTGCGGCGGCGGCTGGCAGAGCTGGAGGAGCTGCGCCGCTGCCGCGTCTTCACAGACAATGGCGCGCTGTGGGACCTGATGCTGGGGCCCCTGCGCCGCTACCTGCTCCTGCTGGAGCGGCAGGCGGCGGCGGCGGCAGACACGGGACATCAGCAGCAGCAGGCAGCGGAAAGTGGGGCATCAGCCGTCTCGCTGGCATGCGACATGTGCCGCGGGCCGCCCCCGCCAGGCACCCAGCTGCGGCGCATGCAGGTGGGTGGGCCGGAGGGGGCACACGCCCGGTTTCACTCTACCTGGCACATGTGTACACCGCTGTGCGCGTTATACCTGCTGTTACGAGAGCAGGCTGCGGCTGCGCCGCCTTAGCCACCCATCAGCACCACACACACATGTGCGCGCCCACGCCGCCCCCTGCTGCAGCTGATAGGCCGGCCGGAGCACATGGCGGTGTGCGGCGCCTGCGCCGAGCGCCAGCACGGCCTGCTGGTGCCGCTGACTCCCACCTGGGAGATCGACGCGGTGCGCCGCGCACGCCTGCCGTGCACAGCAGCCTGCCTGCTGATCACCCACCCACAGATGGCAGGCTGCCTGCTGTGCTCAATACACGGATGGCAGGCTGCCAGGCAGTGCCGCTTGCAGGTGCCTGCGTTGCTCGCGCGTGTGCGAGCGTGGCACCCTGCCGACACTTGACGTCCCTTCCTCGCGGCCATTCCTCCCATGCCCGCAGAATGCGTGGCAGGCCATCCAGCAGGCGCTGGCGGCACGCCAGCAGCAGCAGCAGCAGCCGCGTGGCGGCGCCGGCAGGGGCTCCCGCTCGGGAGCTGTGGCGCGGCCTGCCAGCGCGTGCAGCAGCGGCAGCCACAGGGGTAGGGCGGTGAGTGTCGCCACCCATCCCGTCACGTCTGCACTTACCCTCCCTGCCCCATGCCTGCCATGGTCGCACACATCTATGGCCGGCCCTCACTCTGTACATGCGGCCTTGCACTCGTCCGGCCAGCCCAGCTGCCATGCCGTGGCTCGGCTCTCATCAGCGCCCCGCCCTGCTCGCTCCGCCCTGCCACCCTTCTTTGCCCCCCTGCAGAGGTTCCAGGCCACCAGCCAGGCCTGGCTCAAGGAGCTGACCAAGGGAAACGTGGAACCCAGCAACGGGCCCAAACCCCGCGTCTACCTGCCATGTGAGTGGGCAAGGGCGAGGTCGGGCGGCGGCGGGGCGGATGGGGCACGCCTCTGCTGCCATCTACCTCTGGCAGCCTCCGAGCGCCACCTGTCCTGCCGCTGGGCCCGGCGGTCGGCTGTCTGCTGGAGCCCCTCACCCCGCTGTGCCTGCTGTGCCCGCTGTGCCTGCTGTGCCCGCTGTGCTGCAGTCGGCGTCTACTGGTTCTGGGTGGACCGCCTGCTAGGGGACAGCGCTGAGCTGGCGACCCCCCTGGTGATGCGCGTGAGGCAGGCAGGCAGCACCACCACCGCGGCCGGCACCGCCGACCCCGGCGCCGGCGACCCGGGGTCTGGTGCGGTGGCGGCGCCCGCCTGGGACATCCGCCTGCTGAAGACTGACGACGGCATGCAGCTGCAGCCCGCGGGCCTGCGCGTGCTGCTGGAGCAGCTGGGGGCGGGGGTGGGCAGCCGCCTTCTGTTCCAGCTGGAGGAGGGGCGGTGCAGCGCCGAGCGCCTGCAGGCGACCGTCAAGCTCATCGGCAGGTGGGCGTGGGCGGCTGGTTGGGAGTTGCAGCCAGGGCGCCTTGCACGCATGACTGGTTGGTCGCCGCAGCCCTCCACCTGTCATGTCCATCCAGCTGTTTAAACATCCTCCCCTCCCCTGCTTTGCTGCTCCCCATGCCTGCCCCTTGCGCAGTGGCGAACCGCTGCCGGAGCTGCCCGGGGACCCTGTGGAGGCTCCCCGCGGCGCCGTCGCCCTGGCGGGCCTGGCTGGCAGCAAGAAGCGCAAGGGAGGGTACACCAAGCACCCGGCGGACGCCGCCTCCGAGTTCTTCTATGGCTGGGACGAGAGCTGGGATGAGGAGGTGGCAGATGATGCCGCGCTGCAGTCGATGGCTGTGCACACGCTGGACGGGTGGGTGGGTGGGCACACTGGGCGGGCGGGCGGGCACGCCTGCAAGGGTGCAGGGCGCAGGGCATGCAGGCAGGCACGCGTGCGCCCAGCTAGCTAGGTACACTGCCTGGCAGCGGGGAACGCTTCGGGGGGCCGTTGCCGCGCGCTGCGCCCGACCCTCCCTGCCCGGGCGCCTTGCCTGCAGGCCCAGCGGGGCGGGCCGGTCCAAGCGGCGCGGCGCCGGCGGCCGGCTGGCGTCCATCCTGCGCCAGGAGCTGCCCCAATATGACGACCCGGACGACGGCGACTTCCTGGTTGGTGCGGAGGCTCAGGGCGGCGAGGAGTTGGCGGCGGCGGCCGATGATGCCAGGGAGCTGCCTTTCCAGCCACGGCGCACCGCGAGCGTGGAGGAGGCGGCGCTGCTGGCGGCTGACCTGGAGGCGGAGGCGGAGGTGGAGGGGGCGCACCCGCCGCCGCCCGGGACCGCGCACAAGTGGGGCGTCTACGTGAGATGGAGGGCTGGCGCGGGCGGCCTGCCATGCGCCGCGGATGCAGGGTGTGAAGTATGGCGCCGCCGGCTGTGGTGTGTCTGCGTGTTTGCGTGCTCACAGGCTTGCGCGCGGCCCGGGTGCAGGTCAAGTGTGCCGGCGTGCGCAAGGCCTGGTATGGCCGGCTGGACCGCCAGCGCGCGGCGGTTGCTGCCGACCTGGTGCTGCTGTGGCAGCAGGAGACGCAGCCGGCGGCGGCGGGCGGCCCCCACCAGCGCCAGGTGCCTGCGCCGGCCGCCGCGTGTGCCTGCCGCATGCCGGCAGCTCCCGCGCAGCTGTGGGTGCCTGCCGACGCTGCTGGCTGCTCACCTGGCCTGCCCTGCGCTGCCCTGCCGCTGCCGCTGCTGCTGCAGATGAGTCTCCGCGATCTCTTGGCGGCCAAGCGGGGCGAGGACGTGGATGCTGGGACCAGCAGCAGCAGCGAGGAGGAAAGCAGCAGCCTGCGGGAGGAGGTGCAGGCCATGCAGGCGGCCGCCGCCGCGCTGATGACGACCGCCGGCTCGGGCGGCTGCTCGCCGCGCGGCAGCGGCGGCGCCCCCGAGGCCGGGCCGGCGCCGAGGGGAGGCCGCGGCAGGGCGCCGCCTGCGCAGCTCAACCTGCCGGGGGCGCTGTATAGGGAGGATGAGGATCTGATGGCGCAGATCAGGCGCGCAGGATGGGGGCAAGCAGCACGTTTAACGGAGGGAGAGGCTTGCTTGGCAATGGCGCCGGGTAGCCGCTCCTCCCCCGCTCGCCAGCCTGCCTCGCGAGGTCCTGGCCCGCACTTTGCCCCGGCCTCCGCCGCAACGCCGCTCTGCCGCCCGCCCCTGGCCGGCGCCTGCAGGCTCATCCACACCCCGCAGCAGATGATCAGCTTCCTGTCGGTGGTGGTACCGCAAGACCCGCTGCCGCACCCACGCGGCGCGGCGCTGGCGCATGCTCGGTCCTTGGACCGACCGCAGGACGAGGGCCAGCAGGCGGCGCAGCAGGAGCCAGAGCAGCAGCAGCAAGGTGGCCCAGGCCAGCAGCCGGCGCAGCAGCCGCGGCAGCAGCAGCGCAAGCGCAAGCACGCGCAGCCGGTGGCGGCGCAGCCGGGCCGGCCGCCGCTGCCTCCCCCGCAGGCGCAGCAGCGGCCCGCCGACGCGGCAGGGCAGCGGCGGCGCGTGGGAGTCGTCTTTTATGAGGACACGCAGACCTGGGCGGGGGCCGCGGCTGGCAGGACCGCCGCAGGCCAGCTGGTGCCGCTGCGCGTGGAGGGCCTTCCCACCTCGGAGCAGGCGGAGGTCGCCAGGGACCTGCTGGCGGTCTGGGGCTGGCTGGCACAGGGCGGCGTGCTGCCGGGCGCTCACGCCGATGACGCCAACGGCAGCGGCGGCGCGGGAGAGGGCGGCGGCGCGGGCGGGCTGGCCAGGCAGGCGAGCACGGCGTCGTCGTCTGGCGCTGGGCCCGCCGAGGCCGCGGGGCCGCCCGTGCCGCCCCTCAATCACCCCCTGAAGTGAGCAAGCACGCGCGCCGCTTGCCTGCGCGGCCGGCAAGCGTGTGGAGTGAAACACGTTGACAAAACTGCACCTTGCGGCAGTTACTGTGGTGCCTGCCTTGCCGCCAACCTGTTTCACCCCATGCCTCTCCCTCTGCGCCCGTGTTCCAAACTGTGTGCCTCCTCCCGGTCCCCCACCCACCCACGTTCTGCACCCGCAGCTTCTATGCGAAGTGGGCCGCCGACCTGCGCCAGCTGGGAGGTGAGCTGGGAGGCCGCGCCCCCGCACCCCGCCACTGCACGCTCCTCCCAGCACGCCCCACCGCGGCACCACCCCGGGCCTGCGCCTGCTGGCGCTTCCTCTGGCCGTCGCCCCATGCCTTGCTGCCCCCGCGGCCCCGCGCCCCTTCTGCTGCAGTGCGTGAGGTGGAGCCTTATGTGAAGGTGGTGGCTGAGGAGGTCAGCACAGAGCTGGCGACCCTTCTGCCGCCGTCCCCCAAGCGAGAGAGCAGCCCCGCAGCTGATGCCAAGCTCGACACACCAGAAGTGCCGCCAGCCAAGGCTGCGCCAGCAGCCCCTGCGCCAGCTGAAGCGGCCACGCCGGCGCATGCCGCCAAGCCCGCGCCGGCCGTCCAAGCGGCGTCAGCGGCGCCCGCGCATGCCGGCAGCGCGGCACCCTCGGCTAGGCCGGTGGGCCAGGGAGCCGTGGCAACTGGCGCAGGGGCTGCTGGCGCAGCCTTGCCGCTCGACTTGCTGGATGTGCTGGCCTCTGCTGCGTCAGGGGAGGCGCCGGCAGGGCCGCCTCCAGCTGCGCAGGCAGCTCCTGCGGAGCAGCCAGGCTTGGCGGCGAAGCAGGAGGATGCGCCGCACGCTCAGCCCCAGCCGGCGGCGTCCCGGGAAGCACCGGCAGCACCGGTGGAGCCGTCACGCCAGCCGGAAGCGCCACCAGCGGCGCCGCCGCCTGGGTGGAGGCCCCACCCGCAGCAGCGGCCCGAGCTGGTGAGACCACCACCGCCGCCACACCTGCAGGCCCAGCCGGCAATGCCAGCGGCAGCACTGGCGAGGGCACAGCCACACCCCTGGGGGCAGGGAATGCGACCAGCGCCAGCATCGGGAGCGCCGCTCCGGCCCCCACGCCTGCAGCACCAGCCAGCAATGGCAGCGCCAGCACAACCCCCACAGCTGCAGCAGGCTCCGGCATCGGGCTGGGCAGCACGGCCGCCACACCTGCAGCCACAGCAAGCACCAGTAGCACAATTTCCGCCACTGCACATGCTCTGTCATCTGGCACCAGCAGCGATCGCAGCACCGATGCGGCCGCCACACCTGCAGCACCAGCCGGCGCCGCTGTTGCCCACTGCTGGTTCCGGCGGAGGCAGCGGAAGCCTGCAGGGCTCAGGCGGCAGCGGCGGCTTGCTTAGGGCGCCGTCCACGGTTTCGGAGCGTGCAGCCCAGGCAGCCGAGCGCAAGGTGCAGCAGGCGCTGGCGGCGTTTGCCGCGGCCGACATGGAGAGCGGCGACAGCATGCTGCGCCCGCTGCGCCTGCTGGTGCTGGCGAACAAGGGCGGCCAGACGCTGCGGGTGAGGCACCGCCTGCTTCTGACACGGCTGCCGCTCGGCAAAGCCTGCATGCCGCTCCTGCCTGGACACGAGCACCAACCTTGCTTTCTTTCCTCTGTGCAGGACGTGGTGCAGCGATGGGCCAGCTACTCGCTTACGGCTCAGCAGGACGTGTTTGATGCCGCGCTGATAGGGTGCGACCGCGGGGAGTTTGACCAGCTGGAGGAGCAGCTGCTGCTGGCGCTGTAGCAGGCAGCTTGGGGTGGTCACGACGGCAGGTGGCAGGCAGGAGTCAACACCGCGGAAGAGCAGAGGTACTCCGCAAACAGTCGGTACTAGCATCTTTTGTGTGCTTTGCATTCCTCCAATGTAAATGCAAGTGACAAGCTGCGAGATCTCACAGGCTGGCAATGGCCGCCCAAGCTGGCAGTCTGCCCTCTGGACCCTCAGCGCGCCCGCCACGTTGCGGCATCCAATGTGGAGCCAAGCCTGCTCGGACTTTCGGAGGTTCTGTTGAACAGAAGCCGTGTGGCTTGTTGTGTTGTGGCAAAGCTGCGCCCCAGAATAGAGGGCGGGAGCATGGCGCAGGAGGGCAAACCTGAAGGTGCGAGGACAGGTCCCGACGTGCTGTTCTGCTCTGCTACTAGTCACAAACAGGCACAGTAAATGCCTTGGGTGCCTTGCCCCTGGCGCCAATCTGAAAATGGTCCGCCTGTGTTTTGCAGGCTCGGAGCCAAAGGACGGCGAGGCGCAGCGGCTGGAGGCAAGAGAGGAGTCGGGAGGGGAAGGCGGGTCGCAGCCGCAGAACGAGGCAGGCAGCAAGAGCTCCGCCGCAGCAGCAGCAGCCGCGCAGCACCCCTCGCCGTCGCCATCAACCGCGTCGGTGAGCGAGCGAGCGGCACCAGCGCACGCTACAGAGCCCCACGAGGAAGAGGTCGGGGCGCAGGCAGCCGAGCAGGCTGCCGCAGCGGCCGCGCCAGCGGAAGCGCAGGGGGCAGCGGCAGCACCAGCCGAGGTCGCGGCTGCACCCGCAAAAGCAGCGGTGCGCACGCCTCCGCCTGCCATCCCCGATGAGCAGCACCGTGCATGCGAGGCAGAGGCGGCGCGACGCCTGTCCCAGCTGCGCAACTTTGCTGCACGCTGCGCCTCGCTGTTTGGGGCTGGCTGCGGGTCTCCTGCGGGGCCGCACCCGCCCCACACCGCCGCCTACGATGAGCTGGCGCAGTGGCTGACCCGTTGGCTGGGCCCCGTGGTGCTCCGAGACATCGGGGTGAGGCCTCACGCAGCCCTGCCTCCCACCTGGGCGCCGCACCTGGCGCCTCACCTCGCCTGCCGCTGCTGCCGGGGGTCTCCCCCACATGCGCTGGCATGCCCGCCTGCTGCGTACACACTCGGTTGCTCATGCTCACCTCTACATCATGCTCGTTTCGATACCCGCCTGCTTGCCTGCCAGCCCTCCCGCTGCCCCTCCCAGCGTCGCCCCGCCCCGGCTCCCTGCCCGCAGGCCGACCGCGACGAGTGGCAGCGCCTGGCTGATCTGCTGACCGCCGCATCTGGCGTGGCGGTCACCCCGGCACAGGCCAACAGCTTCTTCCCGGCTCCCGAGTCGGGCCGGCCTGCGGTGCCTGATTTCCTGGCCTTGCACGCCGCAGGTGCGCCAGCCGTGAGCTGCTGCTGCTGCTGCCTGGGCCTGGTGCTGTGCACTTGCTGGTCCTGCCGGCCTGCCCGGGCATTTGCCCCGCCTCAGCAACCAGCAAGGCTGGGTGGGAGGCCGCTCGCTGCCCCAGCTGCAGCACCCAGGCAGCAGCGCGGACCCATCCCCTCCCTCCCTCCCCCGCGCCGCAGGCCTGTTCCCGGCTGCCTGGGCGCTGCCCCTGGACCCGGCGGCGGTGCGGGGCGCCAACCGCGCGCAGCGCAGGTGGCGGGAGTCGGAGCGGGGCTACGGGCGGCCGGTCGGCGGCCTCCACTTCCGCCACTACTGGGAACTGGAGCAGGCCTGGTTCTCTGGCGCGGTGGTGGCCTTCCGGACCGGCAGGATCCGCCTGCACACCATCCTGTATGAGGATGGAGACCACATGCAGGTTGACCTGTCGCAGGAAGTCATGGTGTTCTGGGAGGCGCCGGCGCCGGCGCCGGGCGAGGCGGCGGCCGCCGCAGCGGCGCGCGCGCGCGCGCTGGCGCCCGCGCCGCCGGCCGCGCGCATGCTGGCGCTGCCGCCGCAGCCGCGGACGGGCGCCGCCGAGCAGCTGCGCTTCCTGCTGGGGGCCCTCAAGCGCCTCGTGCCGGCCGTGCGGTGAGCTGGCTGGCTTGGCTGCCCGGCCCTTGTCCCCGCGCTGCCGCGCCCCCGTGCCGTCCTGGCACCCTCCCTGCTCGTGTTGCGCCACCACGGCCGCCCGCGTGTCTTGCGTTTCCCACTTCGCACTGCTGCTGAGCGTGCTGGTGGTGGGCGGCGGCGATGCAGGGATCACATGCCCACCCTGCCCAAGGCCGGCAGCGAGGGCGATGCCCAGCTGCTGCGGGAGTGGCTGGGGGAGGCCCCTCAGTACGACCCCAGCCAGCCCGATGTGCTGCCCTACCTGAGGCGGCTGCTGCAGTGGGGGTCGCCACCTGGCGCCCAGCTGGCGGGCGCCATAGTGGCGGGTGGCAGCGACGGCGAGCCTGCCAGCGTGGATCTGGCGGTGGTGCACGCTGCGGGGTGCTACCCCCACACCTGGGCCGTGCCGCTGACGGCGGCGGGCGTGCAGGCTGTCAACCGCTGCATGGCGCAGGCGCCGGCGGCCGACCCGCTGTCCCAGCTGCGCCTGGCTGTCAGCAGGGGCATGCGCCGCGTGCCCAAGCGGCCCAGGGCGAGCAGCAAGGAGGCTGGGGAGGAGGAGGAGGAGGAGGGAGAGCGGCAGCGCCGCCAGCAGCCGGGCCCCAAGCAGGCCGGGAAGCGGAAGCAGGCGCAGCCGCAGCACCTGCTGCAGCGCATGCAGGCCGCGCTCGGGCCCGCCCCACCCCAACAGCCGCAGCAGCAGCAGCAGCAGCAGCGGTGGCAGCGGCAGCAGCAGCAGCAGCGGCAGCAGCAGCGGCAGCAGCAGCATGGCGGCAGCTCTGGGCTGGCGCCTCAGCTGCTTCCGCTGGCCATGCTGAAGACAGATTTCCCCTCCCACCGCCTGGTGTGCGTGCTGAGCTGCTTCAGGAAGCTGATCCCAAGCTGCAGGTGTGTCTGCCCTGAGCAGGAGGATGGAGAGCCAGCCAGCCGGCAGGGCTGCGCTGCGCTCTCAAGCCCGCTCAGGCAGCCTCTGCTGTACACTTGCTTTTCAACCAGTTCCCAGCCCAGCTTGGGCCAGCCCTCCTGACTGCCTGCCGGTGTGTGTGCACGCGTGTGCGCCCGCATGCAGGGATGTCGGCCCCAGGACCGCTGAGATGACGTCTATGGAGGATCGGTGCAAGGCGCTGGCGCAGCTGCTGGGGCCCGGGGCACCCCAGTACTCAACAGACACGCACCTGTGGGCATATGTGGAGCAGCTGCTGCAGTGGGGGTCTCCACCTGGCGCCAGGCTGGCGGGCTGCGTGGTGCGCCACCCCCGCCAGCACTACGCCAGCGTGGACCTGGCGGTGGTGCACGCGGCGGGCTGCTACCCCGATGCCTGGCAGGTGCCGCTGACGGCGGCCGGCGTGCAGGCCGCCAACCGCGTGGCGGCGGCGGCCGGCAGCACGCAGCGGCCTGCGGGCACGCCTGCCGCTCCGCCGGCGGCAGGCGCGGCGCCTGCGCCGTCGGCGGCCCGGCAGGCGGGGCAGCGCGGCTGGGCGCAGGACCGCCAGGGCTGGTGGCGGCGGCGGCTTTCGGCCACGGCCGTGGGGGGCCGCCAGAATCCCATCGCGCTCGATGGTGGGTGGCACCCGCTGGCCTGTCCGCAGGGATACACTCCTCTGTGCTGCCCTGCACGGGCTACCACCTGCCGCCGCCAGCCTACCTTGTGCTCACTCACCTCCCCTGCCCCTGCCTCCCTTCCGCTTCCCTTGCTGGCACAGCCGACACGTTCCGGGCGCTGACGGGGAGGCTGCCCGCCACGCCGAGCGACAGTCTGGAGGTTGCCGCGGAGCGGGGTGGCGCCTCCTACCGCATGAGCTACCACCAAGTCAGTGGGGCCGCCAGCCGCCAGCTCCGGGTGAGTGCCGGCGGCCGGCAGCGCGCTCCAGCTTGGCAGCATGCGGGCGGCTCTCATGCCGGTGTGTACCCACTGCTCCCACTCCCCCACCTGCTCTATTGTTGCCAGCACCTGCACCTGTCCCTCACAGTGCACCTCAGTAACCGCCTGCTTGCCTGGCCCTGCCTGACCTGGCCTGCCCTGTCCTGGCCTGGCATGCCCTGCAGGGGGCTCAGGTGGGGGCATGGGTGAAGGACAGCGGCGCCCAGGAAGGCGACATCATGGCCCTGAAGCGAGATGGAAAAAGGGTGCTGGTGAAACGCATTCCCGGCGCCAGCAGCGGCACGGCAGCAGCAGCGGCGATGGCGACGGCAGCCTCGCCGCGGGCAGCGGCAGCTGGGGCCAAGGCAGGCCGGGGCGCGGCTTCGTCGCGGGGCGGCGGCGGCGGCGGCGGCGGCGCGGGCCCGTCGCATGCGCCGCAGAAGCACCAGCACGGCGGCGAGCTGCTGCCCATGCCCACGCCGACCAGGCGCTGCCCCTCAGAGGACCTGCGCTGCGTGCTGGCCTGCTTGAAGCGAATCATCCCCAGCACCAGGTGCGCACCTGCCGCCGGTACCGCTGGTACGGCCAGTACCGATGGTATTGCCGGTACTGCCGGTACCACCCGTATGCCCTTCCCGCAGGCTGGCCGTGTGCAGATGGCAGGGGCAGCTGTGCCTGTGGCTGTGCAGCCTCCCACCAGGCCCTGCTGCCAACCGCTCCTCGCCCGCCTCCCTGGCCGCCTGCTCCGCAGGGGAGCAGCCCAGCATGCGCACACCAGCAGCAGCGGCGACGCCCAGACGCTCAGGAGGCTTCTGGGTGAGGCTCCCGCCTTCGATCCCACCCAGCGCAGCCCCTTTGAGTTCCTGCAGCACCTGCTGCGCTGGGGCGCCCCGCCCCGCGCCCACCTGGCGGGCTGCTTCATCAGCAGCGCATCCGCCTGCGGCGACGACGGCCAGGCGGACGCAGTCAACCTGAGCGCGCTGCACGCGGCGGGCTGCTACCCCCACACCTGGGCCGTGCCGCTGACCAAGAAGGGCGTGCAGGGCGCCAACGGTCGGGCAGCAGAGGAGATCGCTGCCGACCCCGGAGCCATGGTGCTGGAGGCTCTGGCCCAGGGATTGCAGCACGCGCGCGGCTCTGCGCTGACCCAGGCACGCGACCGTGCGCTGCTGCAAGGCCGTAGCGACGCCAAGTGCGAGAGCCCGGCACGTGGCGGCGGCGGCGCCGCCAAGCGTGCCAAGACCGACGCGCGTGGCGCCGGGCCGGGGAAGCAGCAGCAGCGGGAGCAGCAGCAGGTGCAGCAGGCTGGCAGCCGCAAGCGCAAGCAGGCGGCCGACGAGGCGGCAGCAGACGAGGAGGGCGAGGCGGGACGGCCAGCCGGCAAGCGCCACAGGCGGCGGCGGCAGCAGCAGCAGCAGCAGCAGCAGCAGCAGCAGGCGGCTGCTCCTCATGTGGGCGGCGGGGACGCAGGGCAGCCATCCAGCAGCGGTGGCGCCGGCAGCAAGGCGGGGGCGGCGCCAGCGAGCAAGCCGTTTGCGGGCCCCTCGGGGGCAGCGCCTGTGCCCGGAGCACGCCCTTTGGATGACATCATGGCCCAAGCAGCCGAGCGCAAGGTGCAGCAGGCGCTGGCGGCGTTCGCGGCGGCCGACATGCAGAGCGGCGACAGCATGCTGCGCCCGCTGCAGCTGCTGGTGCTGGCGGGCAATGGCGGCCAGACGCTGCGGGTGAGGCATCGCCTCGGGCTGGCTGCTTGCGGCATGGCGCACCACACGGCCTTGTCGCGTCGGAGATACAGTCTGCCCCCTGCGTTGCTTCTGCGAGGCTTGGCTGTCATTGGCGCCACATGCCCTTGTGCCCGTCCCCCCCCGTCACGGTCTGCAGGATGTGGTGCACAGCTGGCGCAGCTATGGCCTGGCGCAGCAGCAGGACGTGTTTGACGCGGTGCTGCTGCGGGCGGGGAAGCGGGAGTGGGACCTTCTGGAGGCGCAGCTGAGGCTGGCTCTCGAGACGGTGACCTGATGCCCAGCCCTGCCCTTGCTCTTGTGTTGCATTTCTCTATGGTTGCATTTCCCGATGCATTTCACTACCCCTGTTGCTTCCCTTCGTAGATGCGTGTATCAGCATCAGCACGTGGCGTGCCTTGCACCGTGTCAGTCGCCGGGTGTGCTTTGTATGCCTCTGTACAGTTGATTCATCCCGACTGCCGCTGTACAGCGCCTATCATGAATGCTTGAACACCGTGCACACAGTATTAGTGCATGAGCAACAGGTTTACTGCATGATGCAGCTGGGGCAGCTGCCTTCAACGTAAAACAAGTGCAATCAGCAGAGGGGGAGATGCAAGAAGAGTACCCCCACAGCTGCGGTATCGAGACGGGTCGGTGGCTATTGCTCAGGCGGCGGCCTCCAGCGCCAGCGCCAGCTGCTCCTCCAGCTGCTCCCAGCCGCCCTCGCTGGCGATGATGAGGGCGGCATCAAACAGCTCCTGCTGCGCAGCTGCCGAGAAGCTGGGCCAGCCGTGCACCACGGTCTGCAAGGACAGAGGAGCGCTTGAGAGGCATGGCAAGAAGAGCGCCAGAATCATGCCAAGGAAGCAACCCATTGATCCGAAAGCTTGGCCAAAGGCCAAGCTACTCTGAGTGCACTCGAATGACAGGCAGCCGTGGCAGAAGCAGGCGATGCCTCACCCGCAGCGTCCGGCCGCCCTTGCCCGCCAGCACCAGCAGGCGCAGCGGGCGCAGCATGCTGTCGCCGCTCTCCGTGTCGGCCGCCGCAAACGCCGCCAGCGCTTGCTGCACCTTGCGCTCGGCTGCCTGGGCTGCACGCTCCGAAACCGTGGACGGCGCCCTAAACAAGCCGCCGCTGCCGCCTGCGCCCTGCAGGCTGCTGCTGCCTCCGCCAGAAGCAGCAGTGGGCAGCAGCTGCGCCGGCGGGGCGGGCTGCGCCGCAGCATGCTCCTGCTCCTGCTCCTGCTCCTCCTTCACTTCTGCATGCCTGGCGCTGCCGCCATCTGCGCCTCGCCCGCCAGCGCCTGCCCCAGATGGAGCAGCGGGACCACCCCGCCGCTGTTGCGACACCACCCAATCCGACCCCCACTGCGGCTGCTTGCGCTTGCGGCTGCCACTGCGCGGCGGGCTCACGCCAGCCGGTGGTGCGGCCGCAGCCGCGCCCGCTGATGATGTTTCTGCCGCATCCGGCTTCACAGGCTCGCCCACCTGCTGCTCCTCCTGCTGCCCGGGGCCCTGAGAGGCTGTGGCGGCGGCAGCAGGGAAGCGCCTCACCAGCACCTCCTGCCCCTCGCGCTTCAGGCCCATGCTGTCGCCCACGCGGGCGCCGCTGGCTTGCACCCATGCCCCCAGCTGGCTCCCCTGCACGGCAAGCCAAGGCTGCCGGTTCAAACAACCGCCTGGGCCAGCCCAGCCAACACCTTCACAGCACTTTTACACAGCCCAGGCGCAGTGCACCGCTCACACCGCTCGCCTGCAGGTAGCTCGAGAAGGTCTGGTTGGAGTGGCGGTACGCCAGCTGGTACCGCCTGCCGTCCTCTGCCGAGACGACCTCCAGCACATCCCTGGGGGCCTCGGGCGGCCTGCCCGCCAGCGACTGAAACATCACGGCTGCAGCACGGGGGCACATGGCGGCGGCAGCGGCAGAGGGTGTGGCCTGGCCAGCGGGCAGGGGGAGCATGGGGCGCACACATACGCAGGGGTGGAGCGGCAGGGCTCAGCCCCCGGGCCTCATGCCCCCACCCAGGTTGGCTCCTCCCTCGCTCACCCTGCAGTCCCAGCCGGTACTGGTTGTTCCAGGGCTTGCAGGTGGAGGCGCTGAGGCGGCGGCGCCACCAGCCGTCGCCGCCCAGCTCCCAGGACCGCGGGTCGTCGGCAGGAGCGGCCGCAGGCGGTGCTGCCGCAGGATGGCCGTAGCCTGGGCTGCCGTGCTGCTGCTGCTGCGCCTGTTGCTGCCCCTGCTGCTGCTGCGCCTGCTGCTGCCCCTGCCCTCCCTGCCTGCCGTGCCCGGCTTGGCGCTGCCGCCTGGAGGGTGGCGCCGTTGTGCCTGGCTTCAGGATAGCCCTCAAGAAGTCCTGCATGGCTGAGGCTGACTGGATCTGCCTGCACCAGCCATGCACAGCAGCACAAGGGGGCCAGGGCGGGTTATGGTGTGCATGCATGCGCAGCAGGGCCAGCGGATGCATCTGGCAGCCGCGGAAGCTGCCTGCGCAGGGGCAGCTGGGCAGGACAGCAGGCGGCAGCGGCACCTCAGCCGCCGCACGAGCTCCTCGTCCTGCTCGTAGCGCGCTCCAGGGACGTTCCAGTTGGCTGGCTGCTGTGCAATGGGCAAGGGAGGGAGGCGTGCGACTGAGGCACGGCACTGCTGCATATGCACACTGGCCCGCTGGGCAAAAGGCGGGCCCGCTGGCAGCCTGCGCGAGGCCGGCAGCGCGGGCGCCCCCTGCCAAGCCACGCACCACTAGGCTGCTCTCGCTCAGGCACCGCCGCCTGGCCAGTACCAGATCAGTCGCCACGGCGGCGGCCTCACGGTGCAGGCCCCCCACCCACCCCTGCTCGCTGCAAATCTTGAACTGCAAGCACAAGAGGGAGGCATGGTGGCAGGGGGCCGCGGCTCTGGCCCCTAGGCGCGCCTGCTGGCTGCGTGGCACGCAACACAGCCCTGGCGGCGGCGGAAACCAAGCCTGGGGGCCCCCACCTGGATCGCCCACTGCGACTGCCTGTGCTCCTGCGGCGGGCGGGCCCCCCTGATGCGCCGGTCCGCTGGCACCGGCAGCGCCAAGGCTTCCACCACGCTCGCGAAATGGGCCTGCTTGGGAGGGGGCTCGGCCCCCGGCGCCGCCGACAGCAGCGCCGCCAGGCCAGCCGCCGCCTCCTCCGCCTCCAGCTCCTGCTCCGCCGCCGACTC